ACAGTAATGGATTCAGCATCCTCAAAAACTACCAAAATCACTCCAAGTCATTTTTTTAATTGTTGTTTACACAGGCCATAATGCCATTTATTTGAATTAACGCAATTTATGCTCATTGTGCAAATTTCCCAGCAAGTTAGCATCCGGCACTTTAAATGTTCTGGGGACCCGTACTATACATTTCAAACATATAACTTTGGTATAACAAACATTTCCAGGTTCACTAAGCTGGCCACCAGAATATATAAAAATGTGATTTTTGAATGCGTATTTTTCTGCACCAAAAAAAGGAAATCCATGTTGGATATATAAATATGCACACATTGTTGGCAAAGTACTGCAGAGACCATCTAATGGTACTAATAGTTGATTTGTACCTTCTCCTCCCTCCTCATTCTCTTTGGGCTGTTGGTTCTCCTCTTCCTCTTCCTCCATCATCATCATCATCTAGAGGAAAAATCTTGTAAATCAGGACAGTAGCCTACCCATATATCAAAAGGTATTTGTTTTAACGCTGTTATGTCTGAAAATAGTTCTGAAAGGTTTTGCAGTTTTATTAAAGATGAATTGAACACTCACATTTTTTTTGTCATTTTCATTCTTTTTGCGTTCCTTATTTGCCATAATGACACCGACCCGCAGGGTGTCAAAGACCGGGTCGTTCCTGTTTGGGTTGTCTGGTCACAGACAGCAAATATTCAATAATTAGATATTTCAACAGTTAACAGGTTAAGACATATTGTGAGTGCACTCACTTGGATCTGGGATGTCACTGGTGTACAGCGGGGAGCTGTAGGCCCTCCTGAAGCCAGGAGGCTGCAGAAGACAAACACACACCACCATTTCACTGAGTCCAACCCCTCTAGTCATGAATACCAGGGGGAAGTCAGAGAGAAGGACGCTTTACTCACAATTTTGCCAAAGCACTTCTGGAACTCGACATAAGACTGGCATGAGTGGTGGATGTTGGTCTTGCAGTTTTTACACCTCAGAGCAAACTTGTTGTTCACTAGAAAAATAAACATTGTGTCAGTCAGACATCACATTTGGGCATATTAAACATCACAAGTATGAGAAATTGAACGTTGATGTTTGTATGTATGTTTTTTCTACATCATTTCTAATACATACAGACTATCATGCGGGCACAGACGTCACAGAACTTGGGTTTTTTGCAGTAGTGGTCCTTGAACTTGTGGGGTTTGTCGTTGATCCGGACGACAGGAGGAGGAGGTTCTGGCTCCTTCTCTTCAACCTCCACCTCCTCGTCATAAATGAAGTAGACCTGGACACACAAGAGAACATCTCAGTAATTCAAAAAGATAAACACCAGGGCAATGTTTCAATACTTCCAGGGAAGTATTAATAAGAATGAGGAAATCATTTGATCAGAAAGGGACAGTGATTAGGTGTCAAATTTGTACGAAAGATTTGTAGACAACTTGTGATGCTCTTGTGTCACTTTTTACAATTGATGTCCATGTTTGGTACATTCATGTTGCATATTTTGAATTATGTAGAGTGTTTGGTTGTATGCTATAGAAATTGTTGATTTGAAAAAAAGGATGTACCGATCAAAACAAATGATCCGGCCAGAGTCAGTATTTTTGCCATGTACATTATCTTTTGGCAGAAATGACACGGCAAAAGTCATACTGCTTGAAGACATTTTAAAATTGCTTTGAAAAAATCCAGATTAAAATTCAGTTTATGGCCAACATTCAATAAACACAGGTATCGATCGCATGGGTCAAAAAAGGGAATTAATGAAGAATACAATCAATACAATAAAAAAAGATAATATTAAAATATGAACAAGAAACATATATTTACAAACGAAGAAAATATACCATACAAATATTAAAAATAAATACTTTAACAAGATGTCTAATATATTAGTTAAAAATGTAAGATCTGCACAGTTTCTAATTGACGCTGCACTGCGTTCCTGTCGCAGCTGTTGCTATTTTAAACCAGCCGGGGAATGGCACTGCTAACAGTGAGGGGGGGGGGCTCATGTCACTCACTGTGTCTCCGTCCTCTCTCACAAAGTTGTCAGGAGCGGGAGGGTTGTCATGGATATCCAAAGAGTTTTTGTCCTCCTCCCTGATACACACACACACACACACACACACACACACACACACACACACACACACACACACACACACACACACACACACACACACACACACACACACACACACACACACACACACACACACACACACATTCTTAATTATTTTTATTTATTATCGGAGTTTCCTATTAATAACTTAAAATGACCACAAAGTACTATGATTGTTACATATCAGTCAAATGGAGGCCTGTGGGTAAAGTGAAGGCAGGCTATGTTTGGCAAAGCATTACGTTGTATTGCAGATGTCATTGAACTGATTTCAGGAAAAATACTCACTGGTCCATGATGTTTGGTTGATAATGTCAGTACTTCCCCACCTAGAAAGACACAATTATAAACCAAATAATGTCAAGAGCTTTGCGGATAAATAATATAATAATTATTGCATTTTTGAAGCAGCACAGTTGAAAAAAAGTGTAGAGTAGATTGCGTACTTTATTGAATAACTAAACTTCTGTATCGTACCACTTTATCTAGTATCAAGTATCTTTACTCATGTCAACATTTATATGGCTCTATGTTTTGTAAAATAACAGAAGCTATGAGCAAATGTTTAAATGTTCATAGAGCCAACTATATTAAATAAGTCACAGATTATATCTAGATTTCATATTTTGAATGGCTTTTGGTTCTGTATTTTGTCTTATTTTATAAATTTGTAGTAGAAAATGATTTCTAAAAAATATACACAGCAGAATTACAAGTGGTGCTTGTAATGTTGAAATGATATTAACACACACAGAAACATACAGCCACAAAACACACTTACATCCAGGGTGTTTTTCACAGACCCACATACTGTAGGCTACATGTTCGCTTGTCAGCTTGACCCAAACTATTCTAGGGTTGTGAAATTCAATCTCATCACAGCTAAATCTGGGTGCGAGTCAGGAAAGGAAGTTCAAACTCTTGGAAGTATGACAGTAATAAAAATCAAACTTTATCAATAGTGAAAACATTCAGAATTTAGTAGATCGTCAGCTATTATTTAAAGCTAAATTTCGCTGCCTCTGGAATCAAATAAATCAAATTACCTGCTTTTTTCATCAAAACACGTTTTTTTTTAATAGAAAAGCTCAAACATTAAACTTCAAACTGGAACATACCTCTTTTGAAAATTCAGGAAGCTCAGAGAAAAAAAGACAACATCCAGTGTGGGTAAATCTCACTGGGAGTCCTTCGGTCCTTCACCTGCTGACGAAGACTGGAGCGCATATGATCACAGACTCTAAAAACCAGCCGCCTCACTTCTGGCCCTCAGGATTCTGCGTCAACACTTGGGCCCTTTCTTTATTCCCTCTTTAACCTCCTTAGGTGTTTTCCCAAGTGATTTTCAGGCTGGGTTGTGATTCATAGTGCTTGTGAACTTATCTATAGTTTTGTGTGTGTGTGTTTCTATGTTTGTGTGTGTGCTAAACTGAGCACTCGTGTGTCAAGCTGAATGTTTGCAACAGCTGGGAACTTCAGAGTGAGCCCCGATGACGAGGGGAAATCAGATACCTTCTCTCCCTCTGTCTTCATGCTGCTCACTGTCCCTGTACTTCATCCTTTGGAGACCCAGAACAATGCACTAACCTGTGTGTCGCCTTGTATTTTAAGTATTTATTCCTGTGATGTAAGATATTTAATTAGGTCACATTGACAATTATGTGGTTTTAAGTGGAGGTATCAAAACACTTTTCTTTTATGAGCATGAACATGTGCCACAAATAATGTGTTTAAAACTAATAATTTAAATGATATTGAAGGTAAGAGAAGATTAACCAGGGGTCTTGCGTTAAATAAGCTGTTGGCCCATGCAGTTGCAGGTTTTAGATATCTCTTGGACTCATTGAGCCCTAAGAAATATCTAAAAAATAAGACTCAAATATTCGTAATGCATTGCATTGCTGCATGGAAGCCTTTGGAAATGAATGATACTTTTCAATTAAAGAAGTGCATCATTTTCAATTAAATATTCCTGTTATAAAAGGTGGACTAAATTCCCCCCACAAAAGGAATTGTTGTTGTTTGTCTAGTTAAGTAATATTGGAATGGAAAACTGCTTAATTTTCATGTGAATATTTATGTAGAAAGAATAAGCATTGGATGCAATAGAAGGAGGAGTCTTATTTGTCCAGAGAGGTAATTCTATCTGCTACAAATTGGTATTCAAAGGGTCAATCTGGAGCAAAGGACAACAAATCCAACCTATACTAACTTTACTGTGGTAATATATAAAAAAAACATTTAAAAAAACCTATAATCTAGATGGCCTTCCTACAAGAGTAATGATTCAGGTGACACCTTAATGATCATCTATTTATTGTGTGCTTTAGTGTTAAATACAGTATTACCAAACAAACTTGAAATGATTCTAATTACCATGCGGTGGATCCCCTGAGGTTCTGGGGCTCATGACCCTTTCCTGCTTTACTAATAATTCAATCTTCACTGGTCAAACCAAACATATACAAACAAGCAAATAACGTCAATGCCTTGAGATACATTTCTATATGCATGTAAATCTATTTTGGGAAACCAAGGATGAGAGTATGCTCTCAGTACCCTTTTTTTAGAATGTGATATGCATTAAAAGTTAGAATGTACACACTAAAATACATGTGTAACTGGGTAGGCTTTACAAATAATGTCTGTATTTTTGATAAAGGTTGTGTTATCTGGGCTACAATTGCGCCTATTGATGCACATGATCCTATCATTGTGAGCAGCAGAGATGAATCATGGGCCTGCTATTATTCTGTCATTATCATGTCCTCTATCAAGGAGCTCCGCACTGATGTCTGTCTGCACTACAAAGGTCCCGTTGCATGTCGGGTACAATACTCCCTGGGCGCTGTTTGCGCATGCGCGACAGAAAACTCCATTCTTTTTTTTGCTCGGAATCTGTAAGAAAAAAAAACAGTGGGAAACTGTGAATTTGGGATTACATGAATCGTTAAGGTTGTCGGAATACATTTGAATGCTAGTCGGGTTTGCAGAGTCGAGACCAAAGCAGTGGCTGGATAACTGTGCACCAGGAGCGGGACATCCTACAGTCTTGTTGGGACACTCTCCAGAATCAAGTAAATTTCAGTCAGATAGCTCTGATAGCCTAGCTGCTAGCGTTAGCCCCGAGATCCCAGGCGCAGTAAAATGAAGCGTTATTGCCCTTTGTTTTTAAATCGGTCTGGCAGACGTTGCATAAACGCTGAGAACTGATTGAGCCTGCTTATACGCAGATTGAAGGATGGGATTGTCCATTTCACGGTTATTTAATGAAGTAATGTCCGTTTTCAAAACATTCTCTGGCTAGTCCGTTAGCTAGCCAGCTAACTCTTGATTCTCCCGCGAGCCAGAAAAGCGAAGAGTCCAAAACTTCGCCACCACAGAGAGAGCCCGACCAGAGACAGGCTGATAGGTCCTGCTAACATTATCCGTAGCTTACGCTGTCAATAAGTAAGTGCAATATGTTGATCAAATTCATAGTGCTTTTTGCAAAGTAATATTGTGTTTGGCTCGCTTTTGGAATAGTAGCTAACATGCAAGAGTTTTGCATCGGAGTGTTTTGTGCGCCTGACAGCTGTCACGACAACATAGTACAAAGTAGGATAGCCTGCTAGCTTAGCTGTTAGCCTAGCTGCTAGCCTGCCGTGGACCAGTCGTGCAGTTAATAAGATATTGTTATGCATACTACAGAGATGTCGACTTAAGCTCAACTACAATTTCCATGAAGATTTTTATTTTAAGCGCTTTTCATGTTGCTTATTTGTGAGCATATATTTTGTTTGTTGGAAAGGCAGCTGCTTATATTGTAGCTAAACATCCAGTAGACCAGGGGCCTATCCAAACACACCCTCCCACTTCAAAGTAGCCCCAGCTTGCTCTGAAGTTGTATTATTTTCAAGAGAGTAATGCATCCGGTGTAATTACTTTTATGAAATGCTTTGATTACATAAACAGCAGAAATGCTTAATTACATGAGCTGTTTATCCTGGCTGTGCCTGTCAGATTACATAATCCACCTCCACCTTACTTTGCAGGCTCTCCCATCTTCATCCAAGATCCTACTCTGATGTGAACTGAACAAATAAACCTTCAGGAGTCATCCTCTAAATTGAAGATCTGATTTATAGCTGAGGAAAATCCAGCTGTTTCGGCATCAAGTCAGGTTTTACTGGCAGTCTGTGTGCTTCTAATCCACCAGCATGTACATTGGACAGTGGACACCCTAGCAAAAACAGATCCTGGCTTCTCAAAGATGACAAGGTAAGCTAAATATGCTTTAGTTATTTATTTTAATGCATAACCTTGACAGCGAACCAACATATTTGTCTTTGCCTTGGCCACACCCACTGGTAAACAGTTGGTTCAATATTTGGGTTTGAAAAGCTTGAATTGTCAGGAGCTTGCACACATAGGTAAAATAGTAAAAGTTGTGCATTTTGCCAGGCTTTTTGGGGACATTGAGGACAGCTGGAAGGTATAGTCTATGTAATTGATATTGAAATGTTGCATACATTAAATGATCAGCCTTTGTTGAAGCATTCTTCATGATTCTGTTAAACGTAGACTGAAGTCATAATTTCCCGCGTCATCATTTAGTGTTGTTTAGTTAGATAAATGTGGTGCACACACATGCAAGTTGGAGCACTCAAGACCTTATGCAGAGACATTCGTTCATGCATTTTATGCATGCATGTATTTATTTATTTAGTGACTCAATGTGAGGCCCAACAAACTACACTGACACTAGCTATATTTGCACGTATGCTTTCATTTGAAAAGAAGTTCAGCTGGGGTGGGATTGTGGGCCAAATAAAGAAACTTGACTTGACTATTTTAAGCCCTGATAAAGTTTCCTTCCAAATTTGTATTGAAATGTGATACCGAATATACAATGAAACTACTGCTATTACTGATGCTGTTGGACCTTTTCATTCTGTTACTTCAAAAATAAAAGACAAACACATTAAAACAATTTAGACAGTGACAATGACTTTTTAAATACAACACCATGATTATCTACCCAAAGGAATTTGTAATAATTTAAAGAAAAACCCTGGTGTCTTTTCGTATACTAAAATTAACATTTTGCTGCTCTTCCAAGGTGCTGGCAGGCCGCAGCTACAAAATGATGGGAGGCAGTGAGACTGTCAGTGGGGACAAGGATGGGGTCCACGCCACTGCAATACACGTCCCCATCGGCTGGCAGAGGAGACTGGATGGCGGGCAGGTGATCTATGTCAGGTGGGTTGGTTCAGTTAAAAATAATTTCTCTCACACAGCAGTCAGGCTGTCTGAAGCAGTCATGTAAACAACAACAGCTTGCAGTTTGTAAAGCCCTACACATGGCCATGAGTGAAGGAAAATCTCAAGTTTCAATGAGAATTTTTAATATTGTAATATACTTTTCTTTGAGTTTGCTGTTAAAGTTTGTCTTTTTCTTCTGTCTGTAGTCCTAGTGACACTGCCCTATGCTCTCTGGACGAGGTCAAGACCTATCTCTTGATGGATGGCACCTGCAAGTGTGGTCTTGAGTGTCCAATCATCATCCACAAGGTAAAGGAGGCCAATACGCTTTATATTCATGTTTGGGTGTTGTCTAAGTGTGGTTACACAGACAACATACATACACTGTTGATTGTGGATCTCTACACAGATTTTAACATCTTGACTTCTCTTCAAACTCAACCGACCAGTGTGGTCGGCTAGTTATATCATTCATTTGTTTGGACACTGAGGATATCAATACATGTTGTTTTTTTATAGCAATGAGTTTTGATATTGCTGTAGAACACTTACCATTACAAGACATTGTGTTTCCATAAAGAAACTATAACATTAAGTCAAATTGATGGTGATATTTAAGTAGCATGGAACTTAGTTGCAGCACTGGAAGGCTTTCGTTGCGAAGGAGATGCAAACATGTGACATTCCCGCATGTATTGAATTAATTACCCATGACAAACATTTTGAATGAAGTTTGTCCAACTGTATGGAGTCATGATCAACCTTAAAATGTGTGAGTGCACATAGTCTGCAATAAGCCATGATCAGTGTGTGACTAATGAGTGCAATCCCCACTGGTTCCCTTAAATGTCATACATTTAATGAAAAGTTACGCAAAGATTTCTCTCAGAATTGACTAAACCTTGTTTTATCTTGCATCCTGCAGGTTTTCAACTTCACTGTGGGAATGAAGGTGGAGCAGCAAAGCCAGCCATTAGGCAAAGCTGAGCAGGACATGACCAAACTGTGTAACCATCGCAGGAAAGTGGTCGCCATGGCAGCTCTCTGTCGGAGTATGCAGGCCTCACAGCTGCCCTTTGCCAACCTTCATCATCCAGGTAACACGCTGCTCCTGTACCTGTCACACGTTGTTTAAAGAAACATAAACCAATTTATTAAAAAAAGTCAACAGAAGCTGATCAGCATTATTATTTAAAGTTTGACCTAGTACAACAAAATCATCATTTCTGAAGTATATCTTTGTATATTTGGTTGAATGTGCGCAGTTCTAACCATATGTAGAGGGCTGCAATGGGACTATGATCTCACAGGTCCCATGGAACCCAACACAAACATTTCATTTATGAAGTTTAATTTATGAAATGATGAGATTATTGTTGGTCTACCATGCATTGTTAAATTGTCCTCCAGTAAACCACATGCCTGAAATACAGAATCAGATGTTTCTTGCTCCTCGCTCTTTCATCTCCCATTTCCTCTTTGTCCTTCTCTGAAGTCCCTCATGTTGCTCTCTGGTTGGTGTCTGCTGTATGGGAGTCAACCTCAGTAATCAGAGAAACCGTAACATGATCCATATCCATGTTTAAATAGACCTTTATGGATTTAGCTTGAAGCAGTAAGAACAGAAAGATCCAAATGTTTCTAATTTCACCGTGGAAAGGGGCAGACATACCGCTGAGACTTTCTTTCATAGTGTGTGATCAGAAACATCGTAGGAGTACACGGGATGGTATGGAGGTCTCTGTCAGAGAAGTCAGCAATAGGTGGAATTCCTGCAGTGGCAGGTGAGTGTCGGATTTGAAAAACAAGTGCCAGACTTAGCCTTTAAAAACAAAGTAATGTTTTTATATAATTTAAATAATAATAAATGAATAATTCATGTATTAATAATAAAATATTTTTGGGGCTTTTTGCTGCTAATGTGCAGCCACAGAGACAGGGAAGGGATAGAGAGAGAGATGTGCAGCAAAGGGCTTTCTGCAGTAAGGAGCCTTTGCACACGGTGTGTCCGCTCTACCAGGTGAGCTTCCGGTGTGCCATGAAAACTACTGATATGTTCATAACGGTAATGTACTGCCATGAGAAACAGAAGACATTAGGCAAAAATCACGTGCTGTAATTTGTGATCATTTTGTTTGCTCAGATGATTTGTCTTGCTTAAGTTTATATCCAATAAAAAAATCCTCAACTTCCCGGTTTGAAAGGTGAAGCCAGCATGATGTTCCCTCTGTAATCTGTGAAAATGCTCTCTGTGATTTCGTCTTAAAACTTTAATACTCTCTCAGTGCGTTTTCACTTCATGATTATTATTGAAAAAAATGTGGTTGCCATAACGATTTCTTCTTCCGACTTCGGTACTTTGCTTCACCCTCTCGTATGGTCTCTGGTTAAAATAAAGTGGTGCCGTCACTGTGACTACATTCACTTTTTATTAATTTGTGTTTTTTATAACACAAATTGTCTAAAGTGCTCATACTTTATTGGGAAAATAACAATCACATTTTGACAATTAACACAGAAGATCAACAACCATCATGCCATGTACTAGGTTATGAACGAAAGAGGTATTCAATGATTGATATTTTCCACAATGGGCTCTTTAGAAGAGCAATGTGTTGCATTCTTTGACACCCACTTTGCTTTCACATGGGACCAATTGCATTTTGTGCAAGTCATGGCTAATGAAAGGTATCTGTTCTTCTTCTTGTGTTTGTAACATTTCCATGTATGTTCGTTAAGACTGATAATGGCCTCAAGATTGCACACCAATTACATCAAGCATCAACATGCTCCTCCTGAGCACTCAGATATGGCAGACTTTAAATTCTCAATCATTTGTTAATAGACTGTATGCAAGACCTTTTATGAAAGCACAGAAAGTGACTTCACCATAACCCATATTTCCTGGCAAATTGAACTAACAACGATATTTGTGTGTGCCCACATCCAGAGATGAGCAGTGGATTGGACAGCCGGGATTCGAAGCGAGTACTGTTGGAGCGTGAAGAGGACGACCATGGCATTTACCATCATCCCAAACTCCGACCCCACAGCAACCTCCACATGACCCCCTGTGCCAGCCCCAAATCCTCCCACCACTTCATCTACCCCTACAATGGTTCCTCCCCTGTCCTTCACACAGGCTCAAACTCTCACCATCCACTAGACGCCTTGAGAAGACTCCATCCTTCTTCCTCCTCCAGCTCCTCCTCCACCTCCTCATTCCCAGCATACAGCGCTGCCCAGAGGTCACCCCGCACCCCCACACCTCAAGGTCAAAGAACGCCCAAAACTCCGGAGACGCCGGGTTCACCTCGTCTAGGGCCCCTCTCTTCACCTCCACCCTCTTCCCCTATGGGTGGAGGAGGAAGAGGAGCACAGACTCACGCTTATCACCCTCATGGTGTCATTGTGGGAGGTTCCCCCCTCTCTCCGTCTCCCTCCCTCTCCCCCTCTATCTATAACATGAACTGTGTGTCTCCTCACCAGCGCTCCCGCCACCCTTCAGCCTCTCCTTCCCCCATCTCTGATCAGGGCGGAGGCTTCACAGCAGCGGCAGCAGGAGGACTGATGGGAAGTAACTTGCATCAGAGGAGGAAATCCTCCTCTTCCTCTCCACACTCCCCTCTCCCAGGTGGCTCCCCAAACCCCAGCCCCCACTTCCCCAAGTACAAGCTGGAAGACATCTTGGAGCAGTTTAAGAACTCAGGCAACAGCAGCACTAATAACCACCACCTCCTAATCCCTACTAACTCCTCATTACTGACCAACCAAAGCAGTAGCAACCCTAACGCTCTCTCCTCTAAGCCCTCGAAGACCACCTTGAGTCCCATTCAGAGCGCAGGACCACCAGGTTTTGGGTTGAACTCCGCAGGGACTTCTAGTTTACCTCTGGGGCCATATCTGAACCACCACCACCACCACCATCACAGCCATCAGGGAAAGGTGCCCCACCCGGCCTCTTTCCCCGCGAGCAGCCTGCTCTCCGCTGCTGCTAAGGCTCAGCTGGCTCACCAGATAACCCAGGGCTCAAAGGCGGAGGTCTTGAAGGAGGCACAGCAACAACAGTCATCAAAGGTAACAAACAGCACTTTACATAACAGCCACACCCCCTCCTCACATGCTTCTACTAGGCCTCTCCATCCCTCCCTTGCAGCGGCGTCCTCCGTCCTTTTCCCTCCCTCCCACTCTCTGGCCCAGTCCCTGGCGTCCTCCTTGCCCCACCTGCCTCCCGTGGCAGAGCGCAATGCGTCACACAGGAAGAGGCAGCGGCGATCTCCCACAGTGCTCAGCATGCTCAGAGACACCCAGCAGCTGGTTAATGGGCCGCGGAGGACCCCACCGGGAGACGCCGTTTCGGCTACAGTCATCAACCTATCATCCTCTGCTTCCTCTACCTTCTCCTCGCACTCCTCCTCTACCTCAGCCGTGCAGAACCAGAATGCTGCCATGTTAGAAAACCATCACAATCTGATCTCCGGGAGGACACAAAGGCTCCCTGGTCCCAGACAGATGGCCCACCTGTCCAGAGCTCCGCGACAAACGGAGGCTCTGGATTTCACTACAGGCTCGACAACTACCCCTCTTGGTTTGGACCCTCCAACCCAGCCTCTGTCTGCGCTGTTGCACCTGCTCAGTGTGCAGAACGCACAGGCCTCTGCTTCTGCTCAGGCTACTGAAGGAGGCAGACACACTCTTAAACAAAGCCCCAGGCGCTCCCCATCTTCTCCCGCCCCTCATTCTAAGGTGAGGCACCCACAGACTCGGTCACCGTGCCGAACCGGTAACACTAATCCTCCCCTATCGGTGCTACAGCCTCTTTCTCCCCCCCCCTCACAGTTCAGATCAGTGCAGTCTCCATCGCGTCCTCAGTCCACTAAATCCAGTCCTCTACACAGACATTCTCCATGTTCTACAGCGCTGTCTAACTCACATTTAGCTTTACACAACAGCAGCAGCCCATCTCGGCACATGTTGCCGATTCCCTACTATCAACCAACTGAGCATCACATTCCTACAATAGACTCTCTTTCCCAGACTCCATTGCGGGAAACGGAGATGGGTAGTAACAGCTTATCTACATCAGAGGACCTGAGTCATTCTCAAGACAGTGTTTCTATGGCGATACCCAGCTCCCCGAAGCCTCTTGATCTTAGCAACCATGTCCTGGCCCTTCTCGCAGCATCTTCCACTGCACCCCCGGGGGAGGGCAGCTCCCCCGACCATACCACTGATGTTGTGATGTCTTCCCAAGGAAACCCCACTGCAGGTGAATATATTTTCTGTTTGTGGTCTTGAGAACTAACCTTAATTTTATTGGCATGTTGAAGAAATAGGGTTAATCAAATATTAAGCATTGATATGAATTGGTGTTTTCCCCCCCTATACTGTATGTTATTGCTGCCTTGTTAATGCAATGTTATGTAGCTAACTATCTGTCTCTCGATGCTTTACTACAGTTGATTCTTATATAAAACACTGCACACTGCCCAGCTTAAGATGCCTTTTATAAATGGGATTGATAAAGACAGCCTTAACAGAAGTAAATGATTTGTGTCTCTGTCACAGGAACAGAGGAGTCTAGATGTGTGGACCCGAAAGTGACCAAACCTCCAGCAGCCACGAGCCCTGGACCCCCTATCTCCTCCCGTCTCGGGGATAATCCCAGTCCTCATACACCTTCAGGGGTGGGCGACTCCACCTCTCACTTACCTCTGGCGGAGGCCTTCCCATTCATGAACCAAGAGCAGCTGCTTCAGCTGCTGTCATCCACAGGAGGTCTGCCATCCCTCTTGGACCCTGCAGTCCTGGCTTCGTTGCCCCTCGGGGGGCTGTGGTTGGGAGGGCAAAATGCACAGATACACCCTGCCAATGCCACATCACAACCACCACAGACTCTTGCAGAGCAGCATCATTCAGAGCAGCAGCAGTTACTGATGCAGCACCAAGAGACGCAGGATCATCATCAGAAGCAACAGCACATGAACACCAACCCCCTGTTCCCCCTGCTGCCCTTGTTGAGCGGGGCCCACGGGGAGCTGCCTCTGAACCTTTTGGGCCTGCTTAACCCGCTCCTACCCCCAGGCTCAACTCATACCCCAGGACAGGATTCTGATTTAGGGCTATCAGAGAAACCAAGCCTTCAGGCTCTGCTGATGGCCTCCTTGTTGCTCGGGCAACAGCATGGGCCTTTGTTACCTCTGTCTGGGCTGGGTCAGTTGAGCCAGGTGAGCCTGGAGGTTCCTCAGCACATCCCCAGCTCTCTGGAGGGCCTCACCTTGGATAAGACCTCCGGGCTCCTGGATCCATCGGCCCTCTCAGCCGCGGGGCTCCTGGAGGGTCTCCTCCCCCTTCCCCCAGGAGCTGAAGGCTCTTTGCAGGCCCTGCAGTCTCTGCTCCTTTCTGCCGCTCTTCCTCCTCCCCACGCAGCCTTCCTGCCCCTCAGCCCTGCCCTTCTCAATGCTGCCCTGAGCTCAGCTGAGCTCCACCCGCACTCCCACACCCAATTAGCTCCTGCACAGCAAACCCATCATACCCAACCTCAGGTAGGCTCCCCTTTCTCCTGTAGCTGCTTCCTCTGAGCTGCTCCTAGTTTCTCTTCAAAACCTTTGAGCTCATTCCACTGTTTTCCTTCACAACTAAAATATGTTTTTCCCTACATTCTTTTCAAATCAAGGCCTCCTAAAATTAATTATTGACTTATTTTTTAACTTTTTATTTTATTACTTTGTATTCAATGTATTGTATTTTCTCCCCTGACCCTCTAACTAAACTCCTTTTCTGTCCTTTACTCTGCAGGTACCCACTGATGCTGGTGTTGACACCCTCATCCCTCTATCCCTTCAAGGCAAGGACAACCCCCTCCTCCAACAGTTACTGCCCACTCTGCTTAACTCTGCCCTATTAGGTGAGTTGGTGCCCATCCTGTGTAACAATTATGTCTCATGAGTCAGTATACTAGGAATAATCAAAGTTATACCAGGAAAATCAATGAACTGCTCTCAGTAAATATACTTTAAACGATGGCATTATTTAGCAGTAAGCCATTATGTGAGCTCATCTCTGAAATGTGTCTTTGCAGGAGATCTTTCCGCCATCACAGGCCTCCACAACATGTTGGGGATCGGAGCAGGTTCCCTCCTCCTGCCGCAGACCTCTGCGTTGGGCATGCCTCTGCTGCATGGTCCTGATGGAGCCATCAACCTGCTCAATAACATACAGGTAGGTAATGAGTATGTAGTGGATAATCATTCAGGGAACAGCTTCTTATTTACAACCTGCCATAATCATTGCAATGCAAATCATGTGGTAATCGCATTGTCTGTCAAAATATTTCAGCCCTAATGTGCCAAATACATTTATTAAACATAACATTTAGTAAAACGTAAAATAAATATGTAATCAGAAACCCAAATGTGAACAATTCTTTTTTTTTTAAACTTTCTTTTCTTGCTGGCCCATTACATCATTTCCAAATATGGCAGGAAATGTTGATAATTAGCTTTTGGATTCTTTGTCTGTTATTCATTGTCTTACCTTGTGTGTTCCTCCAGCTAAACCTTGCACCACCCTCAGAAGGAGAGAAGCCAATGCCCTTACAGGAAACGCAAAATCCTTCCCCACAGGAAGACATTCCAGCCAATCAGATGGCTCCCAGTCCTGCTCGGGCTCCAGTTTCAGCCCCTGCACAGGGACACACCCCACCCCCACATCGGGGCTCTGAGGGCAGGTCTGTCATCGATCCCTACACCTCTTTCATGGACACGATTTATACCTCCTTCCTTCAAGTCAGCGCTAAAGAGCAGGAAGGCAGGGGCCACATGGGGCCGTCTGACCCCACTTCACCCTTCTGTGCCTTACCACCCGTTTCTTTCCCCGTGGAACATCACACCCCGTCCACCTCTGTCCCCACTCTGCCCCAGGCCAGTGCCCCGGTCTCCCTCAGCCCCCGTCGGGCCTGTTCCCTGCGCAACCCAGACTTATCCAGACTCAGCTTGGAAGCAGCAGCCCATTCCCCAGCCCAGGGGACGCCCAAACCCACTGAGGAAGGCTCTACGTCACACTTACAAAGGAGACGGGCTATGGTGGGGGGACACACTCACCCAGAGCCTCCTCTGCCATCTATATACCTAGAGGAGGCTAAGACAGACTATACAGGGCAAACTGCAGCTGTGTGCCCCTATGTGGAGGCAGGGGTAGATAGGCAGGGGCATCTTCCCCACCCGGGGTACCTCAGTCCCAGGGATGGGTGCAGTGGGAGGCCCAACGAGGAGACAGCTGGGACATTGATGCACACCGAGCAAGGAAGGGTGAGTGTTTCCTCTAAACTTTATAACAAAGATGGAGGCAACCTTTTGCAAGAGTCTGACCTGCAGATTATGCTTATCTTTATTCCTACGTGCTATAATTGACAGCATTTACAAAAATGTCTGATGGATAATAGAGGCGGATGCTAACTTAGTTCCAACTCTACGGTCCCTTCTTGAATTGGGTTCACTGGGATGATCTTCTGATGTGTCTGTTGTCCTAATGTTTTTAAGGCTGTTCCCCCTGGCTTATGACCTGCGGTTATTACAAATGATGGGCTTTATATCTTCTACACTCGCTCTGAAGAACATCATACCGATGACTTTTCTTATTGTGCCATTCTGTGAGACATAAAACCAATATGTGTGTGAAGTATACCTGCAAGAGAATCAGATATGTTTTATATATGTTTCTCTAAAGATGTTTATATCATAGTGATTCTGCATAAATATCTTACTGAGACACCAGACTGTATCTATGGAACAAAGCCTGTATAAAAGAGCAATGTAGCATCAGGATTGACTTGAATGACTTCTGATGAATATTTCTGATTTGACCCCCCAAGGATCAAGCTGGAGCAGCGGGGGGAGCCAGAAGAGGAAGGAAAAGGAAACAAACGTAAGCGGTTTACTTCTCAGACGCGCTTTAGAATTGCCTGGAGAACTCAATTTCCAGTAAGACGTGGCTTCTGTCTCAAGACTTGGCACTGTAATGAATGAAAAGCGTTAAGCTTTTTCTGATATTTCATAATAACCTGCCGTCAGGTTCAAGTGATTTTATTGTGCGGTAGAGAGTATTTATGTGTTTCATCTCTTTGGTTACATCAGGCTACAGAATGTGTTAGAGGACTTCAGAGACATGGATGCTACAGCACTAGAGGAAACCAAGGCTACGGTAAGTCCCCAGCCCCCCCTCAGTGACCCGCAGATCTGTGGTTTGGTCAAGCACAGGTTCTTAATAACCCCTAGCTAGTATTATGGGACTGTTTTGAGTCTGACTATTTCCAAGCCTCCTGTCTTACCTTTAGACCTTATTCCCCCCCCCCTTGTTGTTCACAAAAAACGTTGATGTTACTACTACAGCTTGGGATTTTATACCCACGAGATCCTATGACTTTCCCTCTAGCACCCAATGAGGTTCACACTTGGTCTTGACATTTATTAAATTGATTTTCATGAAATAGACATGTAGGTTTCCCTTCAGGATGAATTAATTAATAAAATGATTGATCTCTTAGCTTTTCATGTCGTGCCATCATCAAATCCAAATTTGTATTTGTACTTTGATTAAAGGTGGGGTAGGTAATTCTCTTCAGAAACACTTTTTGTTATATTCCATGGAATGCTCTTAACATCCCGATAGCAATGAATACATTAAATGCTTTGACAATAAATACATTAAAAAATGTCATCTGTGGAAGCCGTGGCGCTGTAAAAAAGCACGACCAATCATCTGAGCCGGCCCGGCTAAAATAACTGGATGGCCTACCTGCCTGTCAGCCTTCCATCTGTGCACAAACTTATCTCGTGCCCTCATTGGTCACGTGCGCGTTCGTGTGTGTTGGAGGAGGGGCTCTGTAAGGAAGTCTGAAGGAAGGGGCAGATTTTTTTTCGGCTGCGTACTTTCAAATTCTAGCGCACTCGAGCTGGTTTCTCCATTCTTACCTACCCTACCTTTAATAACCAAATACCCGCAACATTTTTCACAGCCTCAGTTTTCATTTTTATTCAAATGATTACTAAAAACAAAGATAGCCAACAGGATAAATTCACCTGCCAAGCAATAGCATGTTGCTTGACAGGTGCATTGTTATTGTGAGCATGTTTTCCTGCTGATGTAAGCATTAAAGTAGCAAGAGCTCCAAGTTCATGTAATCCTGTGTTTTCACACATGCTGTACAAATGTGATTTACATATGTAAGAAACTAAATGAAAGTGTGAATTAAGGAGCTTTCCATAATACCACATGTAGGCATTTGAAGATATACAAATTAAATTTCACGATTATCCTGACCACAATACTGATATTCCTCCCATAATCACCCCAAGTATGCTTATAACTGATAATTGCTCATTTTGCGAAGACAGAGAGGACCCATATTGTCATCATAAAATTGTGTAGTTTAATCAAAAAAGTTATTTGAGTACTTCTTGTACACGTTGGCTAAAGTGCTGAAAACTGCAAAAGCCAGACCCTGAGTCAGTTTGAGGAATGGCAATGATTGTGCAGTTCTGACTGCAGTGGTAAAGTCTTTCCACCGCTGGGGGGCTGCTCTGACTGTATTTCTCTGTTTCTCGCTGCAGACGGCGCTGCTGAAGCCCGAGAGGTCGGTCCGCGGCAGGAGGCGACGAGGCGCCAGGTCTCAGAGGCAGTGATTGGTGGAGGGAGCTGTAAGTCAGCTGTTCACCAATCAAAGGCGGCCACCCGCCTCACTTTCCACCTCCATCTTCACCACTGTTTGGAACTTTCTTTTATTGATTCAACTGCACTAATATTATGCTGTTGTCATGTCAACCAGTTATGGCAACCACGATGAAAAAAAACATAGGAGAGAGATCTAGTCTGAAAGGTTAATTTATAAGTAAAAAAGGTGAGTGAATACTTTCACTACTCTTAGTTGTAGTTCACAAAATAATGGTTGCTTTACTTTGTGATCGGAGATCTGTTAATGATGGTTGGTGAATTATATCTATAGGAAAACACAAACATACAACTGTTTTCTTATCAGTGTATAACTGTGAGTCAGGAATAAGCCCAACTACTTGAACGAAACTCTGTTGAAAGTGTGTACGTGTGTGGATGTGTGTGTCTGAGTGTGTGTGTGGACAACAGTGCTGTTGCTGAGCCTCTCACTGTCCAACAGTTAGGAGACATGTCATTCTAGTCGATGAGACCCGTCTGTTTGTAAGATAAAGGGTTCTTTGCAGAGGCACACAGGGGTTGCATTTCATGGAAATGTTTGGAAGGTTTTCAGAAGGTGCTGGAAGAGAATATAAGAAGGAACACTTGAGTTTTTTTGATCTTTTTCCCATATAAAATATGTTTTATATGGGACAAGCCAAGGATATAATGTTCACCGTGTCAGGTTTCATGATCAGTTTACATCAACCAGCGGTCACACAGAAATTGAATCATGATTTCTCGTGTCCTGTGAGATGTTTCGTGTTTGTACATCACTTATTATTTTTTTGATCGAGAAAACATTCATTTAAGAAATGAAGTCCTTTTGTACAACTCTTCGAATCATGTCATAGGTCTGGAAGGTCAGGGAAATTATGTGAATCTGACACCAGCCACATAAATTAAATGTGGAGCAATTCAGAAAAAACGTAATTTGTGGTATTTTGCTAACCCACTGTCACATGCTGTCAGTTGTTGCTGTGATTAATTCAATGTAGCTGTGGTGTGATGGAGAATATTTATTATATCTGTCAACCCAATACTCACCCAAGCTTCACTCCTCAGCCATTAGATACATGTCTGGAAAAGATATTACATTCTGAACAGAAATATCAGCAGGAATCACGAGTACAAAGTTTAGTATGTCCTTTGGTTGGTTGAACGAATGGCTGGAAATGTAACGCACGGGGAGCGATGACTTCTTACATGTTGGTGTGTTTCTGTGGATTTGGAGTGAAATCCTCCCTCTGTCTCCTCATGTCACTGTTTGAGCTCTCCTCCACACACTGCCCTGCCCCAAGAGTACTGGCATCTCTTGCTGTATTTAAAAGAAGAATAAAGAAAAGTGAAAAAGAAAGCAGATTATGCAATTTCTACACTTGGAGATTTGTACATATGTATAGTTAATGTGTTTTATTTTGATTTTATATTGTTAGAGAAAGAGACAAGAGAGAAAACAATGAATTGTGAATTTTTCTGGGAATTGTAATTAAGTATTTTTCTCATTCTACCCTTTTCTTTCAATACTTATGTTTAAAAAGACGATTCAATTGTGGACTGTAGCTTTCTTTTTTATATGGGAGTCTTTTTTATTTAATATTAAACTATTTACAGAAAATGTACCCTGTGTTGATTTCTATTCTGAAAAGGATGTGATAAACTTTGTTAGCTTGTAGCTATCTGAAATGTAATTTGAACCCACCCATTTTTAAATAAGGATTGTTTTGAACATGGTGCCGTAAAACATGTTATCAAGAAATAAGGTTCTTATTGCCCTCGGAAGAAGTCTCGTATTTGCACTCTAGTAAAACTACTTTTGAATATACACAATTTAAGGAGAACAATATATACAAGTTTACTCGGTAACATAAATTCAGTTTGCAGATAAATCTTTATCTTAAATGAAAACTGTTAATATGATTATTAGAGATATGTTTTCTGTTCTGTTTATGTTTCTGTTAATCGTTTTATCAAGATATCTTTTAAATAATGTCAGCTTTTATTATAAAAATGCCCTTTAATTAAAAGATCTGCTCAATATCACAACATTATATAAACAAGAATTTGGTTACAGAAACATACGCATATTTATTTGTTAAAAATATAGAGGATTGTGCAGCCTGGAACAGTAAGTGCTTAATGGTTGCATTCTGTATTGTATTTGTATCAGCAATGTGTTAACTTTTTACAAGATGAATTATTTTTCAAATGGCTGTGTTTTCACTTTTTACATTGTGCTGTGTCATCTCAGTCTCCTCAGCCACTAATGCTCCTTCAAGGTGAGGCATTAACTCGTCTTTTAATCAATAATCTCCATTGCCTTCCCATAATGGTTCCTGATGCCTTCCAAGAAACGGCCTATCAGGTATGTGGAGGGGCCAGAGGATGACTGAGGGTTAGTCACGGCATCATCGGGCTGGCAGCTGCTGCTCTGTAAAGTAATGAAACGATGCTTCGTGGCGCTGCATGTGAGGATGTGACGCTGCAGCACGAGGCTCTGCTCTCCGCCGGGCTGTGAGGATGCTGAGCGGAGGATGACGAAGCTGTGTGGGTACCACTTTAAAGGCAGGGATGCGGACCACGCCCTCCTTGTCTCTCCGATAGAGGGCGCTGTGGCGACATAGGCAGGCCGATCCTCAGCAGCTTTACCTCACTGCCCTTCCAGCAGCATCTCACCTTCAACCGGCCTCACGCGCAGCCACCACCGCACCGCGGAGGAAAACAAGAAACACGACAGAGACGGACAGTGGACAAGAAACCACCAAGATAAAGCCACTCGGTCATGATAATTATGTAGGGGGTCGTTTTGCGGTTTGACATCTAATTTCGCTGCCCGCCTCTGCGACACCGAGCCATCGTCCAGCTGCGCACCAAGAAAACGCATCCTCTGTCAGCTCGTCCGGATAAAACCAGCCAACACCTCACAGTCCTCTCGACGCAGCAGGACGAAGTGACTGCGCTTCTCTCCTCGGTTATTTTGACGGTCAGAAAGGCCCGAGCAGCGACGGGTCGCCCGCAGCCTCAGCAGCCTCTCCTCCGCTCAGCAGCAGCATCCTCCTCCTCCCTGAATCTACGCAATGGCCGATATCCCGGCGGAGTGCAACATAAAAGTGCTGTGTCGCTTTCGTCCTCTCAACCAGTCTGAGATTGTACGAGGGGACCAGTTTATCCCCAAATTCTTAGCAGACGACAGTGTCACCGTCGGGGTGAGTAAAGGGAGGCGCTTTGTTGTGCATGCAGGCCCCTCATCAATAAATCATCAGCCCCACTCCTCTGTTTGGGTGCTGGGCTGACATCATTATTAACGGTGAGCGCAGGGAAATATCAAAGCTTCCACCCTTAAAATCTGTTTTTTCCATAACATGACAAAGCTAAAACACATGAGATGTTGTTACGTGAGCAAAGCCTTTTGCACCAGCTGATGAGCTCTGCCCTGTGAAGCCTGTATGAAACCTAGCCAACACCTTGTCACCGTAAACAGACGTTATTATGGCACTCTCCTAAAGACATGCTAACACATTTAGCTGTAAATCATTCATGGCCATATCATTATTTATAACCTCTATTTGAACAACACAATACAACTGTTATATTCATTGTGTTTTTTTGTTATTTAGCCTAATTAGCTTTAATGCTGCCATATAAGGAGGTCAGCTTACAGCACACTATATTTCCCCTGTAGTGATGGTTCATTCATCAGCAGCTGCAGACAGATGGTGCAGAGTGTGGTGAGGGTCTTTAGATGTTGAAGTTGGGAGAAATGGGGCCTAGTGAGCTGGGTAGACCAAAATATGATGATGCTGCATGTCTTGTTTACCCTGAAGTTATGGATTTTCTATGGAAATAATCTATAATTCCGTCACTTTATATTCTGAATGTTTAATAGCCAGGGAGCATGAGTGAACACTGCCTTTTTTTAATCAGGTTTTTGTGGGCCATACAAAAAACGTTATTTCTTCCAAAAAAGAAAGCGGCCAGTTCAGTCTTATTCCAGCGTTTCCAATACAAATCAAATGATTTAAAGATATGTTTTGGTGCCATTTCTAACAATGTTCTACTGAAGAGTAATCGGTCTGATCCCATTTGGTTTCAATACTGTTATAAAGTTATATAAGGAAGGTTAGAAATATATAAATAGAGTACACAACGACACATAAAAAGACATGTTGTTGTGATAGACGTATACTGCAGAGAGAGGCATCATGTTCAAACTTTCTCCAGCCATAATGGAAACCTCTCGGCCTGACCTTCCTCTCTCCTCTCAGCATGATGTTGGACAGTCAGAAACTGATCCTCTAATTGCCCACAGAGAGGATCAATAATCATCCAGCAAAGCTCATGCATCAGCAACTGACTTGCTTTGCCTCTTCATCAGCTTCATCTGTCTGTCTCTACATGTCTCTCTCGTACTGTTTCCCTCTCTATTGTGTGCCTCTTTGACTCTCACTATTATATTTCTATTGCTCACCCATCTCCATTTGTACGTCTCTTTCTGTCCCTCCTCCTCCCTTCCTCCCTCTGACCCGGTACGGAAAGTCTCTCTCTTAATCACCCTGTGATGGGGGCGGTCAGCAGATGAGTCCATTTGTTAATGTCATTTAATATGGCTCATGTTCAGGCAGCTCACATTATGTTGTGTTGCACTGTGGCGTCTGTTTCAGATCAGGTCAGGACGTTCAGGGTTTACTGGCTGGGTTTCTGCAGCGGGGGTCGTCACGGCTGAGTCACTCGTCTGTGTGTCACGCAGGACAGTTTGTTTTTTGGGAGGAGATGATTCACTTTGGGGATGCAAAGTTTAAATTAAATAAAGCCGATGTAGTTTCTAACACATGGATATAAAACTTAAGATAGCTTCCCTTTTTCCTCGGTGTGTTATCTGAGGCTGCCAGCTCCTGGATGAAATATGGCTCTGACTGTCTGGGGAACGATCGGCTGCAGAGCTTACTGCTGATACCATCTCTTTCTGTTGTGTACTTACTGTTCGGAAGATTAAGCAGCGTTTTACAAACCATCCACACAGATTGTACCAACACTGAATGATCTCAGACTGGGGTGACGAAGATTTTTTGCCATGTCATAAGAAAATAACACATTTGAATATCTTGAAAGGTTTTATTAAAACAATAAATAAAGTATGATATCAAGACACAGTTCTTCAACCTTTAAGACATATTTATTTGAATGTGAATAATGTTTGATTGCATGTCATCATATGGGCGCTTTTCATTTTTTTATTTAGACAAAAACAGCAACATGTGTTGGTTTCATCAATGTGTGTTTTACTGAATCACCGGTTTCATATGAGTGTGTATCTCATTCTTTCTTTCACGTCCACACAGAGAATAAATCAGTTACTGGCCACTTCACAGGGCGAACATCATTTTCCAATGACTCACTGCTGGAAAAAAAGATTTGAAACCATCTTATATTAAATCATCCATCTTTGATTTAATTAAATATCCTAAAACTAGACTGAACAATCCTAATTTGGCAAAAACACCTTTTATCTGTTGTTCTTTTTTAACATTGTTGGTTGTTGTTCTTCACAGGGGAAGTCCTATGTGTTTGACCGAGTGTTTCCAACCAACACCACCCAGGAGCAGGTCTACAACACCTGCGCCAAGCAGATTGTCAAGGGTACGGATAATTAACTACGTCAAAACATGTCACATATTTGAAATGTGTTTTGGTCTCATTTATTGTTCTGTCATTCTCTCAGATGTTCTGGGTGGATACAATGGAACTATTTTCGCATATGGACAGACCGCCTCCGGGAAGACCCACACCATGGAGGTACAGTATTTAGAGCATTAAAGCTCAAATATTCCTACGAGTGAACCTCAAGAAGATCCAAACACTCAGATCTGGAGGGCTGAATGTGCCTAATGCTGCTAATGCTAATTGGTTTTAGTGTTTCTCCCCATTTATAAACATTTTTGGGAGTTTTAGGTCTTTGTCACAATTTTGTAAAACAATTAAGTACTTTTTTTTGCTTTGCACTTTAGTTTCACAACTTGATAAAGATTACAATTCATTTGGATGTCATTAGAAACTGTTGGAAGGTCTAACAGAGGGGCTTTCCCAACCTTTTTTACCTTGGTCTGTTTTTCATTGACTCTTTGTGGTTCTGCCAGGATAGCATTTTCTCTTTTACTGCCAAGCATCATACTGTCCTCCATTAACCTCTGACCCTTGATAACCATCACCATCCACTTCTTACCTTTATCTGTCACTTCCTGTTTCAGGGCAAGCTGCACGACCCTCACCAGATGGGTATCATTCCTCGCATCGCCGATGACATTTTCAACCACATCTTCGCCATGGATGAAAACCTGGAATTCCACATCAAGGTGCTGGTTTTTTACATAAGTTACAGTAGTTTCTTGTTTCGTCTTGTCTGTTCTCCTTTTTTTTTCCTTTTATTAATCTCAAGTGTTGTGATGATTTCATGTTACCTTTCAATCTCAGCTAAATTGGATTCCCTATTTTTCTTCCAAAAGGTTTCATACTTTGAGATCTACATGGACAAAATCCGTGACCTTCTGGATGGTAAGGGCTGATGACACTTCTTGAATCACTTGCAACAGTTTTATTGATTTGTGAAATTCGAACTAACAAAGCAGTAATGTAGCTACTATGTTGTAACACTCATCAATTCAAATGTTCTCAATTTTTGTTCCAGTGACGAAGACCAACCTGTCTGTCCATGAGGATAAGAACAGGGTGCCATTTGTCAAGGTTTGTGAATATCTTTTGTATGTCGCCTTTTAAGGTCTGCATCAAATTCATGGTATTCATTTAGAATCATATTCTGTCTCTCTTCTATTTTCTAATTTCCTCTCCTCTTGTTTCCTCTCCTCTCGACTCCTTCCTTTCCCCTAATTTCCTCTAATCTACTCTCCTTTTGTTTCCTTTGGTTTTGTCTCGTTTCCTCTCCTCTCCTTTTGTTTTCTTCTCCTCTCTCGTTTCCTCTCATCTCCCCTCCTCTAATTCCCATTTGCTTCCTCTCCTTTCATTTCCTGCCGTTTCCTCTTATCTCATCTCCTTTCCTCTCTTTTCCTATTGTTTCCTCTCCCCTCCTCTCCTGTCCTCAGGGATGCACTGAGCGTTTTGTCTCCAGCCCTGATGAGGTGATGGATGTGATCGACCAAGGCAAAGCTGCCCGCCATGTTGCTGTGACCAGTGAGTCTTTATTTATTGAATCTATGTGTTGCAAAGCAGGATATACGGTATGCACAGGCACATATATTCTAATTCAAGAGGGAAATCATGATTTTTCATATAAAAACGTCTCAAAAGACAAATGCTTTCAGGGAAATATCTTTTAAATAACCACCTTGACAATAAAATAAGTTATCTTCTTCCTCTACCTCTGTATCAGAGGACAATATCTCATTTATCTTGAGTGGCAGCAGTAGCACTCACAACTAGTCACTGATGCGTGAAGCTACCGCTGCGACGCGTTCATGTAGCCTGTTATTGTGTCTTGTTATGTAATATTCTTGTTACAGCACGCTATCATTTTCAAGCTTCGTTCGTTAACAAAAAAAGAAAACAGATTCGGTCAGAGAGAGTTCACTTGTAATGTAATTGGCATCAGCGAGGAGTTAATGTGGGTTTGGAGAAAGTAGCAAAGCAAAACAACATCTCTGCCTGCAGCCGTTAGTGAAATAAAGTCATTCCCAGTAACAAACAGAATAAGATGGTTTCTGACGGTGCTTTATTCAGCTAACTGTCATCAGGAAGTTTATTTTTAATGTATGTTACAAAACCTTAGAAAAACAAAACAATTAAAGCTATTTGAGCCGTTATTGCTGCACTGTATTATAGCCTCCACCGTGCTGACTCACTCCTCTGTTCAGTAATAACATATTGATAATGGCTCATATAAGAAGGTCAGATATATGCGTAACCTTCATTGCACCATATTTCATTCGTGTATAAAAGATGGGACCTAATTACTAATAAACACAATGATTGTACTTCAAATACAATCCATAAAATGGCTTTAATAGTGTTTGTCCTTCTATGTTTTGTCAGAATGATTCATTTGCCAAACAATTGTGCCCATTAAACTGAACAAAATAAATAATCATACAACACTGTCATGTCTTTTAAGTAAGCAATAATAAGACATGTTTTGCATTGCATTGGAAGTATATGAATCGGTAAAACTACCATAAGGCACATCCTTCGAGAACTACCCTTGCAGAAAACATTACAATAGAATATTTGTTTCCCGTGCTGACTCACAGGGTGAAGTGAGTAACAGATGAGCTTTGTGACTCAGTGCTCAACAGAAACACCAAGACTGCTTCGCTGTAATAAATCTCAACCTGTGCACTTCTCCTTTGTTTCAGAGTTAATGTATTTTGTGCCTCAGTGCTTTCTTTGTCTGCCTGTCCTCACATCAGACTTTCAGTGATTAGATTGTACTCTTTTCTAGAAAGTAACTTTTACTGTCAGTCATTGCAACATCTGTGTTGTAGAATTGACCCATGTGCATACAGACCAGTTTGAAGGACCCACAATATGTTATGAACATACAGTCAAAGGTTACAATGCCATAAACTCTAATGATGGATAAAATAACTTTAATGAGCATTAAATAGGTCATTTTGTATTGCTGCTTACCTCTCTCCTAGATATACAGCATATTGTGGACCAAATTCTAATCATCTGGTACATCTCATTCATCTTGTTCTATCAGTAGGAAATGTTGCACGTTCCTGCTTCTCCGTGTGACGCCTTAATCTCCATAAAACTGAATCATTGCCGTGATAATGATGACATAAATATAATAGGTCAATGTATGCATTTATAATGAGGAGCGGCAGAAATGTTATATAAACTGTAAAAATAAAGTATGCACTGCGGGACTATGATATCTCCAGTCCAAGCTTTGTAAATGAGGGTGATGTCCTCTACATAGCTTTTTGTATATTATGTAAGCTGAACAAAAAAGAGATGTTTCTAACAAATATGATCAGATATTTGAGTTCAACAGAGTTCAGTGCATTTCTTACAGAAACAGGCTCAGCTCAGATTGGCTGTCAGCATTCTGCATGGTGCTACTAAAAGATGAAAGCCCAGGTTGCTGGTCTGGACGAGGCTGCTATTAAAGAACATGGTTGTTGTAAATCCTCCGTCCATTGAGCTGCGCTACGAGCCGTCTCTTCCCAGACAGGCCAATAAAATGTGTCCCACCCAACTTCTTCAGACTGAGCTACAGCCTGTGCTTTGGCAGAATCGCTATAAATATTCATTTCTGCCTGTGTGTTAAGAGTTTAAATAAGCAGCATTATATAATGATGTTGTAACAGGCAAAGACAGTATGAGCTGGATTGTGTAAGCTTTGGATGTAATAACATGTTTGAGAGTTGATGAGAACCAAGACAAATTGCATTCAATTTGATCTCTTTAAAAAGAAATATATATATAGTAAAACATTTGCTTATATGTTAACAAACAAATCCTACTAAAATCTAGCTTTGAAGATCGACTGACTGTAAGCAGCAGGATCGGATTTGCTCAATGCTGCATTCAGGAGCCTCTTCCCTGTTTCCTGGTTGACGCCTGCTGACTCACTGTGCTGCAGAGCTGTGATGAGAGCAGGCTAATGGACCACACTCAGATATCATCTGTAGAGAAACCTGAGCCTCCTCCTGTCTGTCGGATGGACAGAGGTTAGATCAGCGCTGCTCGCTATCTGCTCTCTGAGAACAAGATATCATTTTGCTGCAGTAATGCTTTTTCCAATTGACAAAAAGACATGGAAGATCTTAAATACACACATATTTCTTCAAAATAATAGTTTCCCTTAAAACTGATGGTAATGTGTTTTATAAAACAATGAACACAACATCAGAAGCTCTTCTGTCTCTTCTGTCTTTGTGCAGACATGAACGAGCACAGCTCTCGCAGCCACAGCATCTTCCTGATCAACATCAAGCAGGAGCATGTGGAGACTGAGCAGAAACTGTGTGGAAAACTCTACCTGGTGGATCTGGCTGGAAGTGAGAAGGTAGGAGACCCTCTTTTTTTTAAACATCAACATCTCCAAACCTGCAATGGAGCTCCTTCAAATGAATCTCTTTCTCTCATGTTTGACTTCACGCTTTTCTTTATTCCAGGTCAGTAAGACCGGCGCTGCAGGAGCCGTCCTGGACGAGGCTAAAAACATCAACAAGTCTCTCTCTGCTCTGGGAAATGTCATCTCTGCTTTGGCTGAGGGCACGGTGAGCTATCCTCTCCCTACTAACCTCTATTCATACAGACAGTAGAGGAACAGCTGAGACTGTGTGCCTCCTCATGATTTACAGTAAAACAGTTGAGCAGAAACACAGATATGGATTCAAGTAAATCAGCTAAATAGTGGTGAAGTGGTCTTGGTCTTGTCTTGGTATACTGTTTGTGAGTGCTGTGCCAAATGTGAGATAAGTAAGAAGCTGTCATTTCTCTTCATTTATGTTAAGTGAAAAACACATCTACCGTATCGACAACTGAAGCTTTTTTTAGATCTATTATAATCTAAAATAGAGAAACGGGGAAGTGTATATTTATGATGAATATGATCGTCTGATGAGTTAGTGTCAAAATCCAAAATCACGAATCAAATAAAACCTACCTCCAGCATTATTTCATTCTTTTGGTTCCACATTGTCTTGTGTTTCGGATCTTTTTTCTTCTCCTTTCCATCTGAATCTCTCTTATTCTCCTCTCAACATCTTCCTCCCCCCCCCCCCCCCCCCTTCTCTCCCCTGTAGAAAACTCACGTGCCGTACCGTGACAGCAAGATGACCCGCATCCTGCAGGACTCCCTGGGTGGGAACTGTCGCACCACCATGTTCATCTGCTGCTCCCCCTCCAGCTACAACGACGCCGAGACCAAGTCCACTCTGATGTTTGGACAACGGTAGATACATTTGTGGATACAGTCAATGCATCTTTGGAAAGAAAAAAACACTTTTTAAACTACTTCTGCATGGACCAAGAAAACCAACACAATATGATTACTGCTTTCTCACATGATGCCACAATGTTAGCAAGGAACAAACTCATCAAAAATGTTCTTGAAATGCACAACGCTGACCTAATTTGGTCCTGACCCATTAAAATGCAAACATGGCAGAGGTAGTTGGACCCAAACTGATTATATTTACCTCTCTGAAGGAAGCTGATGATTCATATTGGGCATGACCTAAAATCCAAACAAGGCAGATGCCGCATACGGATGAATTTCGAGCAAAAGATTCAGTACAATTGTTATTTAACACATTATTATTTTAACAAACTGTCTATGTTTTCCTCTGTCACAGTGCCAAGACCATCAGGAACACCGCCTCCATCAACCTGGAGCTGACGGCGGAGCAGTGGAAGAAGAAGTTCGAGAAGGAGAAGGAGAAGAACAAGACTCTGAAGGAAACCGTCCTGAGGCTGGAGACTGAGCTCAACCGCTGGAGAAACGGTGAGGCACATCAGCTGTATTTTGACTTTAGACAAACTTCAGCTGACATTATATAAAAGAACAGCCTCCTTCTGATGTATGTGTTTCTCTGACCTATTTGTCCCTTCCCCCTGCCCCTCAGGAGAGGAAGTACCTGAGACGGAGCAGACCACGGCAGACGTGGTGACCCGTTTCGAGACCATCGAGGAGCGTCCCGTTTTAGACAACGACACCTCCTCCATTGTGGTCCGTATTTCTGAGGAGGAGCGGCAGAAATACGAGGAGGAGATCCGCAAGCTCTACAAGCAGCTGGATGACAAGGTCCGAACATAAAAACATGAACACACTAACTACACACACACTTTCTGCAAGCAAAAACATAATTAGGTTTGCTTTACTTGAATTCTACCTCTATAGCCCCTTATCGAATCAAGCATCTAGATCTGATAATGCCAGGATTACAATGGTTTTAAATGGATGTCATTGAAGACTTTAACAGACATCAAAACAGTTGTTCAGTGCCAAGAAAAAGTTTAGCTTTTGAAAAACAATATCATATTTTTGCAGGATGATGACATCAACCTGCAGTGCCAGTTTGTGGAGAAACTGAAGCAGCAGATGATGGACCAGGATGAGGTCAGTATACACCAACTCACACTGTATACACACACAGTCTATGTTTGACTTATACGTTCAAAATGTAAGCTTAAAATAAACCTCCAGACTTTAAAAAGCCCTTAAATAACTAAAGACTGAACAAGTTGTTGTATTTTTTGCATACGTCTTAACTGAAGGTTCCCCTGTCCCCCTCTTTCCCTCCCTCCTTCCAGCTCCTGGCATCCTCTAAAGGCGACGGGGACAAGGTCCAGGCTGAACTCGGCAGGCTGCAGGTGGAGAGCGACTGCGCCAAGGCGGAGGTGAAGGAGGTACTGCAGGCTCTGGAGGAGCTGGCCATCAACTACGACCACAAGAGCCAGGAGGTGGAGGAGAAAGGCCGGCAGAACCAGCAGCTGGCCGACCAACTGTCCCAGAAAATGGTAGGTTTTGAAGAGGAATGATGTGGATTTGGAGCTGCTTGCTTGCTTGCTGCACCGATGAGTGGAAAATACTGTAGGAAATCAAGAAATGGAGGAAAGTGTTATTGTAGTATATTAACATTGGGACTCAGGAAAAAAGCTAGATTTTTGCGATGTTATACTATTTTACTCATGGTTGATTGTCATTTCTTCTCAGTCTAAGTGGCTCCTGATCATTATAATTGGCCATATCCGATTGGCCTTCTATAGTGAAATCTTGCAAAAGTAATTCTTGCAGAAAGCCTGCACAGGTTTGAGATATTCTCCCAAAATGACTCCATCACCCAGTTAGTGTGAAGTTTGTGGAGTAACTATACTCATACATAATCTAAATACAAGTGGATCTCCTTGTTTCTTGTATGGTGTTTTGGTGCTTCACTGATCCTCTCTGACCCTCTCTTCCTCTTCCTCTTGGCAACAGGCCAGTCTGATGGAGCTGGAGGCAGAGCTGTCTCGTATGCAGGAGGTGAGCGGGCAGCAGAGGAAGCGCATCGCTGACGTCCTCAATGGTCTGATGAGGGACCTCAGCGAGTTCAGCAACATCGTGGGCAACGGGGAGATCAAGCTGGTGAGTTCCAACTAAGTTTAGGAAATTAGACAACAATTTGAACCTCGCTTTATCCAATGTTCAAATGTCTATTCCAGGAATATTTGTGCATATAAAACAATACCTAATTTTTATGTTATCACTCAAAAGAACTATGCAAAGTGCTTTACAAAATTAAAAGACATTAAGAGCATTCTGAAATAGTGCAGCAGAAACACATTATAAAATGACATTTAAAAACAGTAATTAAAAAGCACAGATAATAAATTAAACATAAAACATAAATTCTTTAAGACTCCCAGGATCGAGGGCTTTCAACCTATTTTCGATTCACAGGATTCTAACCCTATAGAAATATTTGTATTAACATACAACAATGCTCATACACTGAAGCCACTCTTTACAACCCTTAACCTGTTAAGCCCCGAGCCTGTTTTCAGGTTTCAGGCTCGAAAATGGCATGCCCAAAACAAATGACTACAACTTAACTTCTAAAAGGGTTATATGAATAATTTCTTTTATCAAAGCAAGGTTATATCTGTGAGTTGGATGTACAAGTCTCAGAATCAATATAGATTTTTCTCAGTCAGAGTAAATTCAGATGGAACATAGCAAAAAAAGGTAAATTCTTACCTCCGCCTAAAGAAAAAACATTACTTATAGTGAAAACCACCCTTGAATGATGGGATGGTAGACTAAAAGCTATAACATATAATAAGTACCCTGTATCAAGATTGAGGCAAAACAAGTGAAATTTGACCTTTTTAGAGAGATTTAGCAAAAAAAAAGTTCCAGGCGGAATAAGCTTTCGGCACATTTGGGTACATCTGGTTCCATCAGTGCCATTTTACCTTTTTCAGGTACCAGACTATAAAAATGGTGTATTACATTGAATTATCACCATAGGTATTCATTCCATCCAAAGAAAAAAAAAAAAAAAAAAAAAATAATAATATATATATATATTTTTTTAATTTGTGAAAAAAAAGGACCCACCGACGGGGTCTTTGGGGCTTAACAGGTTTTAATAGAGTGTTGTTTTTGTTGTTTTCTTATCTCCTGTTTTTCCTTACTGGAGAAAATAATGAAATGTTTTCTCCAATCCTCAGCCGGTGGAGATTAGCGGTGCGATCGAGGAGGAGTTCACGGTGGCTCGCCTCTACATCAGCAAGATCAAGTCGGAGGTGAAGAGCATGGTGAAGCGCTGCCGCCAGCTGGAGAACATGCAGCTGGAGTGCCACCGCAAGATGGAGGAGACCGGGAGGGAGCTCTCCTCCTGCCAGCTCCTCATCTCTCAGGTGAGCCATGGAGAGGAGAAGGAGTTTATGAAAGGCCGCATGAAGTAATCATTTATTGCATTATGTCATGGCTTGGTTTTATAATCTTTTATAACTGTATCTGTGTTTATATTTGTCCAGCATGAGGCTAAGATCCGCTCTCTGACGGAGTACATGCAGAGCGTGGAGCAGAAGAAGAGGCTGCTGGAGGAGAGCCACGACTCCCTGAGCGAGGAGCTGGCCAAGCTGCAAGACCAGGGTAACATGTGTACACTTACGCAGACATATTGTACTGAAATACAGAATAGGTTATCCTCTTGTTTACATTTCTCTGTGATTTCCCTGAAAGTGTTAATGGGTTGTTGCTCTGTGGTGAAGGCTTTCTTTCTATTTGTGTTCTACTAGATAACTCCATGCTTGAGGAAAAGGAAGCAGAGAAGGGTGAGATTGAGGATGGAAATGTGAAGGTAAGAAATCTCTATTTCCAGCCTTAAAACTAGCTAACTGATGAAAATAAAATAAAAATTCCTACACGACCTGTCACACCAGAGTTTCCCTGTATGATGCTACATGATCTGACCCCTCATATTGTCTTTGTTGCACGATGGCCTCGTCAAACCAATGTGCTCCAAAGTATACATTCAAACAGAATGTATAAAGTCTTTATTTTCTAGTTCCTCCTGCTGAAGTCAGTATCTGTAATGTGTTTGCTCTTCACTTTCCAGAAGGTTCCTCGTCAGCAGAGCGAGTCTCACCGCGGCCTCCACCACAAGCAGCTGGCCCGCCTGCGGGATGAGATCAACGAGAAGCAGAGGATCATCGACGAGCTTACCGAGTCAGTGACCACCTCAGATATTTATATTTACACATACATATGTGACAATCGTTTATTACTAATCGTTATATGCTACAGTACGATTATTATTCGCTACATATCATACATCTTTCTATTCTGCATGCATACAATTATGCAAACTAATAATCAGGTTTTGCTGTTGTTTCACACCTCCAGCCGCAACTCCAAGCTGGAGCTGGAGCTGGCTCAGGTGCGCGCTGACTTTGAACGCCTCAAGTGTCAGGACAACACCAAGAGCGAGCGCCTGGAGGAGCTCTCGTAAGTGTCGGGGACTTTCTCACACTTTTCTATTTCTTTTTTAACACTTTTATCATTGAAATTTCAAGAAATATAACCATAGGAATAAACATACGATATATAACTATATCAAAATACACAAGACAATGAAAACATGATACATAATAAGAATACAATAATAAATTAAATAGATAGAAAACAATACATTTCATTATAATAAAGTTAATTAAAGGTGGGGTAAGTACGTTTGAGAAACCGGCTCGAGATACACTTTTTGTTATATTCCATGGAATGCTCTTAACATCCCGATAGCAATGAATATCTTAAGTGCTTTGACAAAAAATCCATACAAAAATGTCATCTGTGGAAGCCGTAGTACTGTAAAAAGCACGACCAATCATTTTAGCCGGCCCGGCTAAAATAACTGGATGGCCTACCTGCCTGTCAGCCTTCCATCTGTGCACAAACTTATCTCGTGCCCTCATTGGTCATGTGCGCGTTCGTGTGTGTTGGAGGAGGGGCTCTGTAAGGAAGTGGCAGATTTTTTCCGGCTGTGTATTTTCAAATTCTTGCGCACTCGAGCTGGTTTCTCCAAAATTACCTACCCTACCTTTAAGTACATTTTGTTAACGTGAGTAAACACCAATATCCGACTTCATCCGGACATACAGTCAACATAAAGAACACTTTCTCACACTTGACATCCCAGTGTGCTTGAAACAGAGTATAGAGATCGTTATGTGTGATGAGTCAGCAGCACATGGTGGACGTTTCTGTTCATTATTATTTAAAAGAAAAACATAATTGAGGATCGAACCGGAACAGTCCACTCTCCCTTCTCTCAGACTCCACCAGAGGGCGCTCAAAAGAACAAAAAGATATTGAAATATGCTGAAGGAGTTTTTGTCCTATTTGTAATATTTATTTTACTGTCTCTGTCAGATTCCTGCATGAGCGTCATGAGCAGACCAAACAGGACTTAAAAGGTCTGGAGGAGACCGTCGTGAGTACAATTGACATCACTATCTGATGACATTGTCATTGTCCCTCGTTGTGTCTCTGTCTTATTTGCATACTGTTTGCTTACATCAAGAGCTGTCATACTAACATCCTGTTCATCTGTCCTCCAGGCCCGCGAGCTCCAGACCCTCCACAACCTCCGAAAGCTGTTTGTTCAAGACCTCACGTCGAGGGTTAAAAGAGTAAGAAGCTGAAGGCTCACAAGAGAGGACAGTGACTCACAAAATGTTGTTTTCATGTCTAGGAATCTGTGACCTGAATACTGACTGATATACCTCAGGAGGAATAGCAGCAATATCCTTTATTTCCCTAATCCCTTAACATTTCCTTTTTGTGTAGAACAGTGGATTAAAGACCCTAAATGTAAACATGCACAATACTGGATGAATAGCTGTTGTTGATTGGGCTTTAAATGGGTTGTTTGGTACATTTGACTGTCACATGATTCAATCATATAATGCCCCTGGATAACAGAAACCCTCTTTCCTCCACCTTGGTTTCTCTATATTTGCTCATCTTCGTGCTTCGTCTTCCTCTCTGCAGAGTTCCGAAATGGAGCCTGATGATAGTGGGGGGTCTTGCACCCAGAAGCAGAAGATTTCCTTTCTTGAAAATAACCTGGACCAACTTACAAAGGTTCACAAACAGGTAAGAAACACAAAGAGAGGATGAGAGGGGTTTTAGTGGTGCAAACACAACCGGCAGTGTGTATTATATTAGACTGGGAGAGAGTAATCCTGTTATTTTCAATTCAAGAGAAACATCCATTTTGGGGATAATTTCACAACAATCTGCACACCAAGGATCCCACAAAAAGATGTATTGCTGTTTTCAAGATACTTTGTAAAGTACGATAAGTTACATATGTAAAACAAACAAATCATGTGTGATGTAAGAAAAGTGTGCTCTCTGATCTCACTTGTTGCTATACAGAGTTGACTAATCTGTCAATTGCATCATATTGCTGTAATTGCATGGCTTCTTGTGTGTTTGTACTTACATTCATTTTAAGTAAGAATTCAATTTCCGTTCTTAAACTTGTAAGTGTCATACTTGGCTACACCCTTTCACTCCTTGCACTTCCTCTGGTTTTTCATTTGATAGTTTATGATTTCTATCCAATATTCCGCCCTGTGTCACGTTTCTCTCTTCCTCCAGCTGGTACGTGACAATGCAGATCTGCGCTGTGAGCTTCCAAAGCTGGAGAAACGGCTTCGGTCTACTGCTGAGAGAGTTAAGGCCCTGGAGACTGCACTGAGGGACGCCAAGGAGGGCGCCATGATGGACCGCCGCCGCTACCAGCAGGAGGTCGACCGCATCAAGGACGCCATGAGGGCCAAGAGCGCTCAGAGGCGCCCCCATGCAGCACAGATCGGTACTTCATAAAGTCTGTTTGTTATATGCATTTGAACAGAGATGGTAAAAGTACACACATCCTTTACTCAAGTAGAAGTACAGATACTCGTGTTTAAAAATACTCTGGTAAAAGTAGAAGTACTGACTAAACTTCTTCACTCAAGTAAAAGTAAAGAAGTATTGGCTTCGAAATGTACTTAACTGTTTTAAAGAGTAACTGACCTCACTTTATATTAATACAACAATAATGTCATTGTTAGTTAATGAATGTTTCGATGCTGAACAACGTCATAATGACAACGTTTTCATTGGTCCCTCTTCTTTAGAGAAGACCAGGAAATGAAGGATACACGGATCGTGTTAAAATCAATAGGCACGCAATGGCTCTAAATAATAATGATCACGACACCAAACACACATTAAAACTAAAGTAACAAATCTGTTTTTAAAATGTAAGAAGTAGAAAGTACAGGTATTTGTGTTCAAAATGTAAGAAGTAAAAGTAAAAAGTCGTCAGAAAAATAAGTAGTGGAGTAAAGTACTGATACCAGAAAAATGTACTTAAAGGGGACCTATCATGCAAAATGCACTTTTGCACGTCTTTTATACATGAATATGTGTCAGAAAACACAACCCTCTCTATTTTCCTCCATACCCAAATCTCTAAAAAAGGGGCTGCAACGGATCTGATAAAAACTGATCCAGATTTGAACACTGTCCTGACGTCAGGACAGTGGCGCTACGGCTATTGGGCCAACTCCACCAATCAGGAGGAGACAGCCACGGCCATTGCCATTCGAAAGCGCTGGAGACGCTGTAGTACATATGCCAGGCCAGTAGATGGTGCTGTTCTCACAGAATCTGCCCCTGCACAAACAGAGCTATAAATTGTCAAATTGAGCAAAATGAGGCATGGCTAAAATGCATGATCTGTTTGGTATTTTGAAGAAAAAAAAAGTATAAATATGCCTTATATAGGTATGGTCCTACACTATATTATTCAAATATAGTATGATAGGTCCACTTTAAGTACAGTAACGATTTGTACTCCACTACTTCCCACCTCTGCATTTGAAATGTATGGTATGCAGTATCCCATCTCCGTAGAAGTAGTATCTTACTTTACATGACTTCCTCCTCCCAACAGCCAAGCCAGTGAGGCCGAAGCAGCTGCCCGTCTGCTCTCCCACCAACCCCTTCTACACTTACATCCGGGCCACTGAGCACGGCAACACCTACAGCAACGCTCTCTTCCAGGGCAACGTGACACAGCCGGGCACCGCCAGCGTCAACTGCAACCCCAACTCTGTCCAGAGCAACACGTGAGTTCAAGTCCTTCCTTCAGACCTTCCCAAACTACTGAGAGCATTCATCCAGGCATGCTCATTTATATTATATTATTATAAACCTAAACCTACAGCCGGCTGGCTTTTCTCTTTGATTTTAAGTGTTGTTTATCAATCTGTTTCCTCTGGGATGTTTTCCACAGAGTTTCCACAGCGCTGGGCTACAGAGCAGGCAAATTCAATGGAGACACACTGGAGTCCTTCCCACTCAACATCGACAATGGTAAGCACAAGAGCATACGTGTTTACCTGTTTCCAAATGAATGTGAACGTGCAGTATGTACTGTATATGGGAGTGACACAGATTTGGCTTGAATTAAAACATTTGTCACAAATCTTATCACATTTATGTAATGCAATAACACATACAAGATATTTTGTATCAGGAGTTTGACATTCTTTGTTCACTTGCTGTTATATTATAGGATATATTAATGAATCGACAAATGTTACTTAGTTGTTATTCCAACAGGTAACACCAACAGTGAAACGAGAGACATCAATGACAACAGGTAAGGAACTCAGTTTCAGTAAATTCACTTTAAACAAAAACACGGAACTGTGTGTTGTTTCTGCTCTATTTTATTAAATTAAGAGAATGTTTAATTATCGTTAAATTAAAATACTAATGATTAAATGCAGCGTCCGTTGGGATTATGCTTTCGGTATAGTTAGTTGTGTACTAAGCGTTGTGTTTGTATATTTTCATGACAGAAGTGATGTTCACTGTGGCAGCGAGGTGGATGAATCAAACAGACACTTTATCATTCAGCAGGAGACCGCTGCAAGTTAATACCATGGTGATTAGCAACACACACACACACACACACACACACACACACACACACACACACACACACACACACACACACACACACACACATACACATACACATACACATACACATACACACACACACACACACACACACACACACACACACACACACACACACACACACACACACACACACACACACACACACCACACACACACACACACACACACACACACTAAGACCATACTTCATTATGTCATTTAACTTGTTTCTGTGTGTCTCTTTTCTTTCCAGATGTTGACCAAACACTGTACCTATAAAGGACCCTCCCTTTACATCTGCATGCAGCCTGTCTCCCCGTCCCTCTACTGCATAACTGATGAAGATGATGATGAAGACCTTTAACCCTGTAGTCTTCAAACTAGATGAAGCCCCTCCCATGGTGACCACGCTCACCCTCAGGTGTGCAGTTCAGTCCTCTCCAGTTCACTCAGTGCAGGAAGTAAATCAAATCAGAATTTCTTTTTGAATACAGAACATTCAATCAACTCATCCGACTCGATGCCAATCATTTTGTGAGGCGATATCAGCGATGCTTGTTACCTCCTGAGGTGGTTGAACTGAAACAGGGCTGACTCCATCCCTGATGCACACATGTTGTAAATAATAGTGCTGTATACTCCAGTAGAGGTTTTTGACCAGCAACTGTTTGTGTGAATGCACAGCCTCCACCTTCCCCTGCACACACCTCCTTAAGGGCATCATGCGGATGACATACTGTAGGCAGACGTGACCTTTTTCTCCGTCGTAAATAAGAGTATAGTGTGTACCGCCAGCTTGTAACAGAAGACCCACTCTCTGCATGCATGTCGCTTAGCGGGTTAGCTTTCAAAATCTTTGCATGTGTCCTGATCCCAGTCAGGAGCCGGTATGCTGCGAGTGTCTGATCGACTTCGACAGATGTCACAGAAAGAGAGGAAAAGAGAGTGCTGGTATCCCTTAATCCTGATCATGGTCTGTTTAGATTTTTTCTATTTTAACGTATAACTTGGCTGTTGTGTTAATGCGGCAGGAGATCAACAAAATACACATCTATGTCTAGTTTAAGTTTTAAAAAAGAGGGCATCAGGTGCAACATGCATCAGGGAAGCCCAGTCCTGATTTACAGTCTTACTTTTCTTTTGTGATGTTGCAGCTGTTTGTCGCTGTTATACATTTCAGGTAACGCTGCCCACACCTTACCGTGGATCCCTTCTCCACTCCATGTGAGTCTTCATACCGGGCTTTAACAACTTCTCATAATCACACTAACACGCTGCCATGTGCATAGATCTGTAATTACTACCTCTAGAGCTTCTCATTATATGATTATTACACTAACATCCTTTCAGAAGCTCTATAACAGCTGATCTTAATTTCTGTAGAAAGTTTAGAACTTCAATAGCTGTGAGTAGATTTAAAAGCTCTCTTCAGGGCATTAGTAATATTCTCCTGGAGTTTATTCATACACAGCTTCCTCTTCTATCATATAACAAACAGGAGAAGAGCTGGACAATTGCTCGCAAAATGTTTGAGTGCAGGAGTTATTCCGTATCAGGGCAGGTCATGTTGACACTCAAAGATGTTCCTTAACTTTCTGGTGTTTGATGCATTTTCCTATTTGGTACCTTTTAAAGGTGGGGTATGCAATTTATTTCAGAAACACTTTTTGTTATATTCCATGGAATGCTCTTAACATCCCGATAGCAATGAATATATTAAATGCTTTGACAATAAATACATAACAACATTTCATCTGTGGAAGCCGTAGTACTGTAAAAAGCACGACCAATCATTTTAGCCGGCCCGGCTAAAATAACTGGATGGCCTACCTGCCTGTCAGCCTTCCATCTGTGCACAAACTTATCTCGTGCCCTCATTGGTCATGTGCGCGTTCGTGTGTGTTGGAGGAGGGGCTCTGTAAGGAAGTGGTAGATTTTCTCCGGCTGTGTATTTTCAAATTCTAGCGATCTCGAGCCGGTTTCTCCAAAATTACCTACCCTACCTTTAAGGCTGAAATGCTATTGTAAACTATTGACTGTGTTATCTCAATTTGTAGTAACATCTAAAACCCCTTTAATATGACTATATGGAAAGTATTCAGTGATTCAGTGCTTTTTGATCAGAGCAATGGAAAGATAGGGAGTTTCTGCAGACACGTCCCCAGCTGAGCAGCCACCAGTCTTGGATGAATGGCCGTTTGGACAGAAGCTTATTGTTTGAGCCTGTTGTCAAGTCATGCTGTTATTCTTCTGTAAACAATCCTGACCAGCCAATCAGGATAGAAGAAAGCAGTGTGGGTGACAAGGATAGGTTTGTGTTTGGATTGAGCTGAGTCACTGAATTGAAGGACAGATTAAACCAGAAGTGTGTAAAGAAAACATAACAAGCTTTTGCTCATGAAAATCTTTTATATTGAAGATATTTCTTTTTGTAAAGTTTGCTTTGACTATGTGTAAATGATCCCAAATATGACCTGAGCAATTTGGGTGGAGGTCGTCTGATCCTCATTCATGACAGCGCCGCTCTATCTCATGCTCTTACTGGCATTAACAACATCTCAGGGCTTCGCATTCATAGCAATCATCCTCAACCATCATCCTAACCCTTACAACCATGTGAGTGCTGATGACCAATCAGGTCGCAGTGTGTTGTTCGAGGCTTAACAGATAATACATCTTCAGAAAAAAACACCTAATTTCACACATAGTGTAAAACATCCTAGCACATGACGTCCAAAATAAAGAAGATAACTCTGGTCAGACCCTACTGTACGTGTCCACACAGACCCTCTATTCGATCTGTTTTAAGTATAATAAATACATCTGAAGGAGCGGGGAATGTGTACTATATTGTCACCCACTGTCTGATTTCAACATATCTAAAATACATGTGCTATATATTGTTAATCTTGTAAGTAAAATAGCGTGCCATGACATAGTATAAAGCTAAAGATATGTACACGCTTACTTTGTTCAGAGATATGTTTGTTTTATTTATTTCTGTATGCCTATACTGTAGCGTCAACATGATTATGTGAAGAATCACAGTTCTGTATATATAGTCTCATCACTATGCTGTATTGTCTGTGAACCATTGTGTTGTAGTAAAACGTTCAATAAACTTGTAGAAAGGAGTTTGAATGCCATGGATGATTTATTTAAAAAGAGAAGTGTGGACTGTACGAAAAGAGGCTGCCATGGCTCCATCTAGTGGAGGTAAGGACATTTGTAAGGGTACAGATTTAAAGGTCACCTATTATGCAAAATCCACTTTTTCATGTCTTTTATACATAAACATGTGTCCCCTCTGCGTAAAGAGATTCTGAAAGTTTCAGGAACAAAGATTCTCTCTCTTTTTGTCCTGATCCATTTATATAAAAACTTGTCTGAAAATGAGCTGATCAGATTTTGGCCACTTAATGATGTTATAACGATTTTTTGGCTTGTGTAACCATTAGCCAATCAGCAACCAAGGTAACCCCCCCCCCCCACCTTATCACCTGAATCTCCTCCTAGAGCACCATTGTGTTCTTTTTAACCAAATATCTCTCAGAGGGGCGTGGCACTTTATTTTCATCTAAAGTAACAGACAGAAAATCAGCACTTTTGAAACAAGGCTGAAACAGAGGGGATTATGGGATGCTGCAATGATCTGTTTGGTATTTGGAGCCAAAGACTTCAGAGACATGTTTTGTATATATCTGAGAACTATAATATATTGATGAAAAACAGTATAATAGGGGACCTTTACATTTATGAAGATCTAATTGTGTTGAATGACTACGACTCCTCTCTTAGTTTATTCAATAAACAACTGCCTTTAAGTCAACCTATATAGAACCAAAGTAATAATACTTCAGTCTTCCATCTTGCTTCAGAGTGAAAGAGAGGTTAACGCCTCACTTTAAAATACTCATACTTCAGTTGTTGGTGGCTGTTTTGTTTACCTTATGAACTGCAACACCCCTGAAAACTATGACTAACAACATGTATGTTAGTCGCTCTCGGTTACTACACCCTCTGACCCAAACAGGAAATGAATTTTTAAACTATGTCAAGAGAGGGGCCCTTGCTAGTTAGTTGTTAGTTGTTAATGATGGAGAAATCTAAATGAAATTAAGATCAGTGCACTACCAATATGATATCTCATATTTGTACACCAAAACCAAGGTGATGATATTAAAAAGACTCTTTAGTCATTTTACCACTGCACTGTAGATTCCTCTATGTACTGGTTTACTTTATAAACTTGGGAAATGTTGAAAAGTGACTCACACATTTTTATATTATTCCAATAAACTATAAACTGTAACTTTTCAAATCAACCTTTTATCAAAATGTAATAATACGTTTGACCTGGTCAGTCAGGTCAAACATATTATTATTAAATGCATGAGGAGCAGTGGGAATCTGAATCTGAGACTGCTGACTAACCTTCACTGTGCTGCTGTATTACCAGTAGGCCTACGTAATAGTCTATACATGGTTAATATTCTCTGTATGGACATTGTCATAGCACACATTTCTTAAATTCTGTTGAAATGAACATTTCATTCTGCAGAGGAACTTCCTTTGAGCCTCAAGTATTATCATAAGCTGCTCTTCATCTTTCCCACGAGAAAAGAAGCAGAGAGAGAGAGAGAGAGAGAGAGAGAGAGAGAGAGAGAGAGAGAGAGAGAGAGGAGAGAGAGAGAGAGAGAGAGAGAGAGAGAGAGAGAGAGAGAGAGAGAGAGAGAGAGAGAGAGAGAGATGCTACATGTCCCTACAAACTATTTCATTCATACAAGATTATCAGACAGGGTTGGATCAGAAAATGTAGTTAAGTTATCTGGAAACTGTTGGAAAAATACATTATTTTAGGATTATTGTAAAAACGTCAGGTCATCAATGCAAGATCAATATTCAGATAAAAGAAATATGCATCTTTAGTGAAGAAAACATATCAAGCTTAATAAGGCCTAAGGTACACATCTTAATTGTATATTTTATCAAATGTCAAATGTTATTGATTAATCATTCCTTTAGCGGTGTAAAGTCTCAATACCGCAGAAATGCACTTTCCCCCTGTTTAGTCTCATTTTCTAAGTTGCCACCCTCTCCAGGAGCGGCGCATTGATTTGCACTCCCTCAGCGCGCATTTATTTCCATGGTCAGGTGGATCAGACCCCGAAGCCTCTGCGGCACCCGGAGGACACTGCTGCACCGGGAGGACACTGCTGCACCGGGAGGACGCTGCTGCACCGGGAGGACGCTGCTGCCGAACCGGACACCAGCAGGAGACAGGAGACCCTCCTCTCCTGCAGGTGGTCACAAACCCAGCGTGTTCCTGCTGTAACTCAACTCTGTCACAGTCCGGACATGAGGAGCGACACGCGAGGTAGGGAGCTCCCACATTCATTAAGTGTGTCAACGGAGTGCTAAACACGGATGGCATCTGAAGGTAAAGGGCACAACTAAATGTTAATTTTGGCTAAATCACAGACTAAACTAAATCTTAAACGATTTGCTTTGTGTTTGAAGTTGGCATTTTAGTGACTAATTGACTTGTCGCATGATGGTGTCAAGCTGAACCAGCACTGTTTGCACTTTGGAGACTCGCATAAATTATGATTTAATGGATAATTTCATTTTAAAGTCACAGTTTAGAGGATTTATAATGTCTTTCATTGTCTTTTCTGTAGCCTCCATGAACATTAGTTGGAACAGCTGTGTGTCAATGTGTATAACTGTAGAATTACAGTGACAGCTTTTTGTAACATTGACAGAGCTGAATCAGCACACACCCGATTATAAATGCATGTACTGCAGTATGTTAGTACTGGATATGCCAGATCACTGAGTTTCAAGCAGAACAGTCATTTAGCTGAGCTGCTGGAGAAACTCCTTGTGCCAATGCCAGTTTATTTTAATAATGGCTTATTTATGTCTTATTTTCAAACACTTCTTGGTACCCAGAGGATTGTGTTTCACCTCAAGTTAATTCATGCAAATATCCTTTTTATCAGAAGCCAAAAAGAAGGTGATAATCATCCTCAAGTATTTGCTCTGCAGGCGGTCAAGTTACATAAACTTAAGACTGATGATGTGATGACACACACACACACACACACACACACACACACACACACACACACACACACACACACACACACACACACACACACACACACACACACACACACACACACACACACATACACACACATAAGACGTGTGCTCAAGTGTCATTCATCTGAAGCAAAATTAGCTGTTAGTTGATATTAATCATTGCATAACTTGTTATTTATTTTGGAGAGTTAAGTTACTACATTTGTGGAAAAGCCATTGACCTGTACTGTTATATCAAAACATTTGTAAGCTTTATGATTATTTAGATTGTTAAACATATTTTTCTCCTGGTGGATACATAGTACATTAGTACTTATTATTTATTGTCCCCTTATTCTTCAATTATGGCAAAACACTGCAGTTCAACATTTAATAAACAAACAGTGATTTTGGTTTTAAAAATGGTCACATGATTTAACTGGCAGTTTAACCAGTACCAGTGTCAATATTCCAGACTTATTTTATGTTTTCAATGAATAAAACAAAATGAAAGAGAAATATCTGAAATAACTAACAGAAGATCAACATACAGTACACACATATTATTTAGACCTTTTTAAGAATTTATTTGATTATCATTCTTTTAAAATAAAATCAGTGTCAGTTTTGGCTTTGGGAATGTTTGGTGCAAATTTCGAATTATTTTCAATACAATTGCAAAAAAATACAATAAAAAAGTCCAAAGATAGTTGATGGAGGATCAGTAGTGGGGAAAAGCCGTAAACTGGCCTCTGTGTGTGTTCTTTAAGCCTAATGGTCCTCCTGTGTGACCTGAACGCCTCGGCGTCCGTGTTACAGCTGTTACTGTCTGTCTGGTGACTGCGTCTCCTCTGCAGGTTATAAATAAGAGGCTGGAGGTTTTGCGGGAGTGTGTGTTGTTTAACCAGCTGCTGGGGAGGTTTGTTTGTCTCCTCCGAGTGCAGGTGTACTCTCTGGCCTCTAGTTGCTGTTCTCGGGCCTGTTTTAATGCCCCCCCACCGGTCAGCACTCTGCTTTAATGTTTAAGGGTTTAAGTCTATTTGTGTTTGGTCAGCATCACCTGTCTATTATGTTAAGCTGTGTGACCAAGAAGCCTGAAATATGTTCCTGATGTATCTCAAAAAATGTGTTTCCCTGTCCTATTTTAACAACATATAATAAAATCAGTATGTGAATTTATACAAAGATGCACTTTGATGAATGATATACATATGGTTCTATTTCCTGAGCTGCCAAGGCTCAACATTCATTACAATGACCTCCAGGAATGTTTGGTGGTTTGAGAGTCGTAGTTTTTCTGGAAGGCTAAGTGAGAAAACTTACAGCAGAGAAAAGGTTTAGGAAACTATATATTGAGTTTGTATTCTATTTCTTATCTTCGAGTCTGTGTGTGTTTGTGTGTGTCTTCCTCTAGACAGAAAGGAGCATGGGAAAGTGGCCGAGACATTGGAGGTCAGACCACCAGCAGTGACAGTATATTAATATAACAAAAACTACCAAAGTATTTAGTGCTTTAACGGTTTAATAACAATAATCACTTTGGTGATCCTCTGACTTGATGAACGTTTACAGGGTTTTAAGTAAAAGGTCTTAACAGCTATTCCCCCAATTCCTGAAATTGTAATTTGCCCCAAATTTGGTTTATGACCAAATATGGAAATATTGATATTCCCATAATGCTGCTGTTTGTATATAGAGGCAATTATCAAAATGTTAGTATGTCAACATCCCAACATAAGATAGTGAACCTAAAACCAGTTATATTTATAGCTTCAACATTGTGAGGATGTTAGCATTTAGCTTTAGGTACCGCTCTGCATAAGTACAGTCTCTGAGAGCTGTTAACGTAGACTCTTGGTCTTTTTTATTCATAGAAACTACTTCTTCCTCCAGGCCTGCCGACTTGACATTCAGGACCTGGGTTGCATGTGAATCATATGGCAGTCATGGCATTAGATCCAGCCTAAGGAGCACACACTAAATGAGTCAAACATTCAAGGTCCATAAGACCTCGCCACCAGCCAGAACTGGGTCAAGGCTATGGACTGACTACTTTTCTTGGAGATTACAGTAGCTGGTCATTCATTTAGCATGTATTTGTATATATCAGTAAGAATGTTTGACTTTTACATTTTCTCTTATTTCTTTATTCTTTATTCTACAGTCAATCTACCAGCTTCCTGTCACACACAATTTAGTTTTGTCTAACCAGCCACTGTAGGCATCACATTTCAGACACAAACAAATACCTCTGTAAGGACAATACGCTTTAAAAAATCCAGCCAGCTTCACAGTTCCTTCAGAGTGAGCACTCAGCTCCTGGTGATTTATGGCCATTTCGGGTCAGCTCCAGAGGAGGCTGACAGGGGTCAGGCAGTCAGTTGGACATCCAAAATAGACGTCTCTCCTTCACTCCCCCACTGGGTCCATTTGTCTCTCTCAAACCAGAGCTGTCTCTTGTAAAGTGTCGAACCACGCAGGGTCAGTCTGGTAAAAGACTTTGACTGATTGAGATTTTCTGTAGCTCACTGTTTTGCTCACACTGCATTCGAGTGGCGTACTGTAACTGTTAGCTCCCAATGGATACTGAACTGAATGATATCATTTTGAAGTGCCTTTCTGCACCTCTGGAAAGTGCGTCAGCCGTCAGTACTGTACATACAAAGGTTTTCCACCTGGTCGTTTATACTGTACTGTTGCTCAAAAAACCCACTTTAATGCAACAGCCTGAAGTCTGATGTGTGCTTTGATGGCACACTTATTTAAAATTGCAACACACAGTATGGAAAATGGAAGGAGGCTGTTGAGATCTTAGCTAAAATTGACTTGTAGTAAGAAAATTGAACTTTGTCCTTCACATAGCTGCATCTCGCGGTTGTTACTGGTACTGCATTTTACACAATAGACACATTGGAAGAAGGAGCTTTTGTGGTTTCTGCTTGAGTGAAAACCTTTGTGGAAGCAGCAGATAAAACACAGGGTTGTTTGCCAGTTTCTTATTGTCCACTCACCAGTCAGTCAGGAATTAAACGGTTTTTTGGATCAAGTTGGAGCCAAATTCTTTTCACATCTTTTCTTTTCTTCAGATGGTTTGACAATCCGTGCACCAGGTTACTAATTTGACCTTTCATCTTTGCTTGTACGTTGTCATACCAAGGCAGTAACCTTTATCTAGGATGTTCTCAAATACTTTTGCTTAACACTACACCTTAAATCTATGGAATAAAATGATCAGACAGCAGCTGTCCTGTCTCCCAAAACGACTTGGTTCAATCAGACTTTATTTGAAAATATTACCTGCCTAAACCCCCACTTAAGTATTGATGTTTTGGTGAAAGTAGAATATCTCACTGGAATGCCAACTTGAATTGCTATTGATAGCAGCATAGAGAGACAAAGACCTGAATGATTAAATTATTCCATAAAAATGTCAACTATCAAGAGCAATGCCTACTGTTAAAAATGTTAATCTAAAATTCAACAACTTTCTAAAATCTAGATCGGCTGTTTGTGTATCCTCTATAACAGGGGTGTCAAACTCAAATACACAGTGGGTCAAAATTAAAAAATCGTTACTAGTCGAGGGCCGGACTGGTTCAATGTTTACTGCAAAACTTATTGAAATTAACTTATTGCACATATTAAACCTGGAACTGTCAAAGCTTAAATTATTGCCTATAAAAACAACATGAAACATAAAATAATCAGTTGCATTCATTTCTTATGGCTCTAACTGCAGCTTTTCCGGAGTCATTTCTTATGATTACATTTCTCCACAGGCCAAAAACATCTTAAAAAAAACTATTTCCCTCAAAGAAAAACCCAAACATCCCCTGTTGTCGCAAGAAAAAAAAGAGCAGAAGGAAACATCCATTTAAACTCGGTTTGCTGCTCTGTGATGCTAGTTTAAGCCAGATACTTGGCATCTCATCTTGGGTGCAAGTTCATCAATGTTTGGGGTCAGGCTCTGAGCTGAGGAAACCCTCAGGATTGAGTGAAGGTGTGCGTGCAATATACCGGCGGGCCAGATCTAATAGTAATTAGAAATTATCCTGCGGGCCGAAATTAAATCCACCAAGGGCCTGATTTGGCCCCCGGGCCTTGAGTTTGACACATGTGTTCTCTAAGCTCCTGCTTCCTGTTTTCTTTACCACCAGGAACACGCCTGCATTTGAAAGACTCCATAAATACATTTAAGAAACACTGAAGCAACCAATTGCTCATGAAAATGTCAATCATCTGAACTTCCTGTGCGCCCCAGCTTTGACTCCAACCCTCCCTGCCTGTTCACTGGAGGAAATGAATCCCCTGCTATGTTAAATGCTTCACAGAATGGTAATGAGGTGCTAGTTGCCTAAGCCTGAGCTCGGGACGATGCATGCTTGAAGTGCTGAGGATGCTAGAGGCAAAAATAGAAGGGCCAAGGCTCGAGGTGCGTTTGTTTCCATCATTGGCTGGGATTAGCAGCTTCTAAACACTCCGCTCCATTAAGGCTATTGTAACAAAGAACACCGACTCATGAAAACACACACCTTTTTAAATCCGCTCTGACTCTGTCTATCATTGACAGCTCTGCTTCCAAATACAGTAAAGCCGGTGTTACATTCGGAGCGCAGGCATGTTTTTATAGGTCTGGGAGCTTCTAATGGGGAACAGATATTTACAGCGGGGATAAATAGAAAGATGACAGGGTACACCGTGGATACAAACCAAATGCTTGCACATATTTTTCATGGTATGTTTTATCTCATGAGAGGTGTCAGATTATACAATTCAACATCCGGCCTGTCTAAGCTGCGTTGCTTTGCAGTACAGTGAGTGCTTAACATTTGTGACTCTCACGCGGTTTTCCTCAACTTCAACCCAGTGTTCCAGCCAGGTTAAAAGAGATTCTCTAAGTTGCTTGCCATTGGTAACATTATCCTTATTTGACTGATAAATCTAGTGTTGTACTATTTCCAACCAACTAGTGGAAACAGTGCTGCTAACATGCAAAATATGTTTTGAGAAATCTGAGTGAATTAAATGTCTGCGCAGCAACGACATGTGAATACACATAAACCAAATGCCCTTCATGTATAAGTCGGTGTCACAGTCAAGCGGTTGTCATCCTCAGCTTAGGTGAACATTTGGTTTCAAAGTAAACAAACACGCAGACTAACACACACACACACACACACACACACACACACACACACACACACACACACACACACACACACACACACACACACACTTTCATGGATTTATTTTTTGTTAAACATTTATTTTTAACCAGGAAAGCCGTTTCTGTACAGATTATAACTCACAATGACAACCTGACAAAGAAGCAAAGGAGGACGGGTAGAGATTTGGGATTAAGCAAAAATGTCCTGTTTATAATATGCATGAGTGAAGAGAGGGGGGGGAGACTCAGTAAGACGGGGATTTTAAGGGAGAGAGATGAGGACAAGGGCGACAAGGCCTTGGCTGCGACCAGTTGAATCAACAGCTTCTCTCCTCTGGCGAGGACACGCTCACTCTGCTCAAGCATAATACCTCAGACATGCTGTCACAAACAGACACACACACACGCACGCACACACACACGCACACACACACACACACACACACACACACACACACACACACACACACAGTATACAGCATGACGACACAAACATCAACAACATCAACATGTTGTCCTGAGGGTTGTTCTCAACTGCAGAAGTCAAAGCACTCGGCACGCTACCATCAGATACATCATGATGAACAAGTTGTTCAGTTTCTGGGTAAGACTCAGCTGATATTTCTTTATACTCTTAATAGTGCATCACATCAGCCATTACATGCACACAAATAGGGCTTAAATATGACCATATCATACCCTGGAATGAAATGCAGTCAAAACAGTTCGTAAAACTAAAGTGACATTATCTAGTGTCAGAATATCAAAAAACGACTTTTGGTGGATATGTTTTATTTTCGTATAGGAAAGTATTTATTGATAGCAAGCATATGGAAAGACTCATTAATTTAAAAATAACTGAATGATTGTAACTTACAGTCATGCATAAATATGATAGATATGACATAATAACAACATAAGCCAACATTCTCAAATACATGAACGCTCACTGTCAGTTTATCCCTCTGCTGCTGCTTTTCTCCGCTTTGACATGACCAGGTAAAACATACAGAGAACAGATATTTAGCTACTTTTCAGAGCAGCTTCAGTCAGTGTTCAGTTCAATGGCAAGTTTGAAGACTTTTATTTACCTTGTCACATGAGCCTATAAAACAATGTATAAATGTGCCAGTGTAGCCGTCTTGTTACAGTAACCCTCGAGGGGGTGACTGATTCCCTCCTGATCTTAAAGTCTGCACAAAATAGTGAAATAGAAAGAGACCAGCTTTTTGTCCCCAGGTGAGTGTTTATAATGTAAATTCTCACATTGTGGGTAACACATAAACCCCGTTGGCATTATACGCTAATTATGACTGTGTTATTGCCCTGTGTGTGTAATGTAAGCAGATGCCAGTGAGAATAACCTTAGAATTTGCACTTGCATGTTCTTGGATTTACTGTGAGCCTTGCTTCTCTCTCTCCCTCTCTCCTCTCTCCTCTCTCCCTTTCCTCTCTCCTCATGTTTGGTCATGCTGCCCCTCTCAGACAAACATAGCGCCCGACACTTGAGGTTCTGCGAGCGAAAGCAAACACAGAGAAGCATAGAGAGCTCAGTACATCAGAGTCTGACAGAGAGAGAGGAAAACTAATGAACGACTAAGTGCGGCTCAGCTGAGGACCTGACCAAAGCTCTTCCCGCTGGCTTAAGGTTGTCCTCACTCACTCGAGTGTCGGTGCAGAATGGATTTCATTTTGGTGGAGCAGCCGGAGACCAGGAGCAGCAGCTTTGTAGATTACTATCCCTCCTTTTGGATTATTTCAGACACCGCTGCTGTTGTGATGAATGGGAATGACAGCATGCAGAAAGGAAGATGGTAATATGACAATCTGCTCTGTTTGCTGTGAGATGTTTCGAACTTTCATCCTATTCTGTCTGAGGTTTTTTTTCCTAGACCCACCCTCGAATCATATTTTAACTTTAAATTCACCTCAAAGATATGTTTTTTTAGCCTAATTACGTCTGGAGGGGAGTTTTAGCTTCATAATCCGTAGTTTCCCTGTAATATACCTCTGAGATGACAGAGGAGGGTGATGTGCTTCATGTTACTCCAACTTTAGAAGGTGACTTAAAAGTCTTAAATAACATCTTTAGCGCTGACACAACAAGTTAATTCATGAATTGGTCTAACAACTTAAAAGCTATTTTGACAAATCATTAATTGTTTGACATTCATCAAACCAAAATTCTTAAAAGCTGATTGAAAGTCTGCCACCTTTATCCTTTTTATATTGTTTGTACATCAGAATATCTTTGGGGTTTGACAAATATAAGAATCTTGAAAATGTTCCCATATTTTCTGAAATGTTATTAATAAATGGTTTATTAATCAAATTATGTAATTGATATACATAATGATAAGCATGACTGGCAGCCCTGAACATCTTATAACTTCAATGGTTCATGTTCAATTTCCTTGTAACATGTGACAGTAACAACACTGCCTCCTGTTCTTGCTGTCATTTATTTATTACGTTGTGACAAGTAGTCATTTATGTTGAAACATGCATGTACTCTGTGTACAAGTACAGCATAGCTCTCATAGCTGGCGACTGCTCTCTGCTCGAGTGTTTTGACACGAGGTGAGGGTCTCAGGTTACAGAGCATTAGGGCAGATTTCACAAACCAGCCACTGTATCTGCCTCCTTCCTGGACCCCTTTACTGGCATGTGAGTCACACAGGAGGGGCAGCCATACAGCATCAGGGAGGGGATGCCTGAAGTCAGAGCTTTTGTCGGATGTAAGGATTTGGAAAATGCATAAACCTGTTGAGAAACTGCGTATCCTGCTGATGGTGAATGGATGCGGGCTCACACCTCGGCTGCAGAGTGGGTGTGCCCCGTTGCCCATGAAGTAGATTTTGTTTGGCTCACTTTGACTGGGAGGATGTTAAGGAGCTGCATTTTAAAATGCCCGCCCAGCTCTCCTGTAGGTTTGATTTGGCAGGACACTATGTGTGTGTGTACTGCTGTGATTTTCCCGCCCTGTTTCCATGCATATTTGCCATGTTGTTGAAACCAGTATTCCTGTTTTAGGAGTGACCTCAATGTTTGGGTATTTGTTCCTGTGTTGACCAGCTCACACAGAGCATCCCTTCTCTCTCAGCAGAAAGACACCTTGTCCCTTTCCCGGTGATTCAATGGAAATACACTACAGTACGTTTAACAGCTCTGTTTGCAAAACTACAAATCATCACCTCCCTTTGACATGGTTTATACTGGCTAGGAACTTGGCTTAATCCTTGTTCAGAGTACACAGCAACATGATTGATAATACATGAATAAATGTCTTGTTTTGTTTGACCAAATCATGTTTACAATGATATTACAAAGAAAAAACAGAAACTTGTGTCACTTTAAGGAATTATTTCACTCTTTCTGTATGAGAAATCATTGCTGAGTGTAGTTCATCTGTGTTTTCACCTGTTTGTCCTGTATCTAAGTGATCGTTTCTGGTTGTTTGTTATGAAATCTGCCGGTGTGACTTACATTAAGCAGCTGTGAGCTAATTACAGATGAGATGAGTGTGTCAGTGAAAGCTAAGCCACACTTTGGTGTAATAACACGCCTTGCACACACACAGCGCAGACACGTCACCTCACTCACGATGAGTTTAAATACGCGCTTAAAGTCATGGCTTTTTCATAATTCCCTGACGTGTTTTTAATGACTTAAACACAGGCCTCGCTGCTTCCTGACTGCTACTTTACAGCCACCTTCAAACCGTCCTGCTGATCAAGGCCTTCATGATTAGTGTTTGCCTTCCGCACGCTCCGGTTTGCTGATCCCTGTGAAGCTACTAAATATACCGTCTGGCCGGCTGGTGCCTCCGTGGTCATGTACAGAAGCTCTGCTCAGCCTGTGTTTATGTCCGACCTCAGTGTGATCTGGTCTGTGCTCCGGTGTCAACCGGTGTGATGAGGTGGTGAGCCACCACACATTTTAGTCTAAAGACTCAGCGATAAGGCTAAAAGGAACAACATTGTATCTAACAGGTGCATCAATCTAACCCAAAATAAAATGCCCCTTGACAAAAATGGCCTTTATCTTCCCATGCTGAAGATTTGCCAGTTATAAATAGCACAGGAGTACTAAATTATTTACAAATGTTCAAAAGAGATAACAAATATGTTTTTGGGCAACGTCAAAAGGCCGGATATTGTATTCATTTTCATCTCAAATCTATATTTTGGCCATTTCCAAAGGCAACAACAATGTGGGGAACTGATTTGAACAGCCAAATAATTGATTCCATTTTAAGTGCAATGATTAAAATTGATTGAATCTTATTGATGCTTATTTGTCATGTCAAATTGCCATTAAACACTTCTACTTGAAGAAATAGTGCAGATTTTTTGTTTTTATGTAGTTTAATAGTTAACATAATAGTTATTGATAGTACATAAGTACATTTTAAATGCTTCATAATAGTGAACATTGTCTTAACTCATCACCAATACACTTTGCTCAAATCCATCTTTTATTGTTGGCCTACATGCACCTACTTGTGTTCAGTGGCTTCTTATTAATAAAGTGATGGTTGAGTGTGAAATACAGCCATATCAAACACCTGCAGCAGAGATTTGGGATTGTAATTTGATTTAAAATGGTGAGGTGGAAAGCTTGCTGAAGTTTTAGTCTTTTTCAACCGAGGTCGGATACAGCAGAGTGCTCCTGGAGTCGATTTAGCTGATTGGCCAAAATGCAAACCCTCAATCCCCCCGACCTTGACTCCTCGCTGAATCAGCATCGGCAGTATTTAAGAATGTTCCCGTCACATGTAGGACTCACACTTCCTCTGATCTTTCCTGACAGCAGGAGGATGGATAGGTAACTTGTTTAGGGAACAGAATGAATGTATAAGTCTGCCTCTGTATACTCAGATGTCCTCTCCAAAGACATAGCAGGATTTTAATCTTGTGTGAAGTGTTAAGAGCCGATAAATCCCCATGTTGAAATGAAACAGCACTCAAGGTGTGAATGAAAAGCTGCCAACAATGCTTTATGTTCACTGCCAGTGTGATATCAGTCATCTTACACAAACACATCACTGTTATATTCATCCATAGACGTGTAACATTAACATGTGTGTGTTTGCCTTGACTGGAGACATGGGTCCCACCTGCTGATTGACATTATTTGTAGAAGCTGCATCATTTCAATAAACTAGAAAGTGCTCAGGACACTCATACTTTTGTTTAGGTGATTTAAATGGAGGGTGACATGCACACAGTCATCTGTCTATTCTGTCTGTTTCCCGTTTGAAACTCATTTGAACTAAATACATTGTCGTTTTAACTGAAAACAAAGACCATGCCTGAAACTCAAGTTTGGTAGGGAGATGTAGTTCCATTAGGTTTCCATAACTTGTGATATTAAATTGTGATAAAGTCCTTCCTGTACGTTAATCATGAATTTCCTTCAGCTGTTCTTTGTGTGGGCAGCAGGAAAACCATTTTTGATAGTGTAATCCAGTGGGGAATCTGTATAGAAAAGATGAAAAACCGCAGACATAAACACAGGAAATGGATTCTTTTCATGCTTATTTAGAGGCAGTATCAGAGTCTGTGGAGGCTTTCAAGTTTGGCCGATTCACATCACTTGTGCTTATTGTACTTTGCATATTTCTCAGGCATTTTGTATACATGATGTTACACAGACTGAATATTTGTGATGCTTCTTTATTGAAACGCGGGGGTTGGGGTACAGCGGCTATATAAATAATAATAAGTAAAGACAACCTTTATGTTATATAAGTGTGTGAAGCTGTAAAATAACGATTTGATATAAAGTTGATATTTATAATAACAATATTAATGATTTCATCTGTTTTCTTATGATTGAAATTAGTTAATGATTTTGTAATACCTGTCACCACCTCTCCCTCTCCCACCATTTCCTGTCCTTCTCTATATCATCAAATTTAAAAAGGGGAAATACCCCCAAAAACCTATTAAATACACAATGTCACAGTTAAATCAGTGGAGAAATGTCCTAAAGGAATGCATGAAGTCATCATGCTCTCCTTCTATCATTGTTAAATATTTATTTCTTCTCAAGGCTGCTTGACACCAGGAATGTGTTAAGACTATTTCTGTTTCATAATGTTACTGGACAGAGACATTCAAACTGTCCTCAGCTCCAGCTATGGGACATCTTATCCACAGTAATGTGAGTCGTAATTTATTTCAGTAGCTGAGAGATCTGGGTGTTTATATTGAGCCGTGTGAATCTGCAGCAACAGTATGCTGGCGTGCCCGGGCAGAAAGACATGTCCATGCAGTCCTCTCATACACCACATACTGCAGACTGACACACAGATAAACACATCAATAAAACACACTCAGCACGGCTGCTAAATGTTTTCTTTATTCAAATTCTCCAAGCTGACTCATATTACCAGCAGTGTTATCACGCTCCAAGTAAAATGTCACTTGTTTTGTAAGCGCTCAAAGCATTTGCATGTCCTATCACTGTAGCCAGGAGACCCAACCCGTCACCACTGTTTAGTTTTCTTCTTTAGTTCAGATTCATTTTAAATTCCAGCCACCCAGAATCCCAGACCTCCTTCACAGACAACAGAGAAGAAACACTGAGATTATAACAAATGTGATGAAGCAGGCGTTCATTTTATCTAGGACGGGCAAGCATTTTAATTTAATTTAACTTTATGAGCTGTGAACTGAATGTGCTTTACAGTATACACTTCTGTGTATCGTGCTTCTGGGTCTGCCACCATCCTCTTCCTCCTCCTCCTCCTCCTCCTCCTCCTCCTCCTTCCTCTGTTATCTTGATGACCATCACTATGTCCTGTCCCAGCGGGTTGTGGCCGGGCTGACCAGAAAGCTGTGAGTCACAGTCTTTATTTCTGGAGCTGTAGGGGTTGAGGATTGGCTGAGAGTCCAGCATTTGAGATCATAATGTGAGGCTATAAGGCAGAGAGGGTGGATGGCTGTTGTTGTGAGGGGGGAAAGCAGATAAGAAACGGAAGGACCAAAGCGCTGTATTGTTTTCTTTTTAAAGGTGCAGAGAAGGAGATGCACAACAGATAGCAGAGCTGGAGCGTTACAGAGCAGTGTTAGTCTGAGGGGACATACTTCATCACACCCTAACACACATTTCTCTGCAGTGAGGGAAAAAGTATCAAGATGATCTAAATTAAAAGTACTAATACCTCAAATACTTGAATCTTAACTTAACGTCTGAATTTAATTTCTTACTTATTTAAAGAAATTAGTATGTATAATCAATAAATGTACTTTAAAGTGGACCTATCATGCTATATTTGAAACATATATTGTAGGGCCATACCTATAAAACATGTCTGTGAAGTTTTTTTTCAAAATACCAAACAGATCATGCATTTTAGCCATGCCTCATTTCGCTCTATTTGCTCTTTTCCAGCCCTGTTTTTGCAAGGGCTGGTCTGCTTTTGTGGCAGACTACAGCGCCACTTACAGGCCTGGCATATGTACTACACCGTCTCCAGCGCTTTCGAGCGGTCTCTCATTCCCCTGATAGGTGGAGAGTTGCCCATATAGGCGGAGCACCTCTTTTCTGACGTCAGAAAAATTCAAATAATAATCAGCTCCGTTGCAGCCCCGTTTTTAGAGATTTGGGTATGGAGGAAAAGAGAGAGGGTTGTGTTTTCTGACACTTGGTGAGTTCCCTGACACACCGGGGACACATATTCATGTATAAAAGACGTACAAAAGTGCATTTTGCATGATAGGTCCCCTTTAAGTTAAAATGTACTCCTTTTGCAGCTAAATGGGCCACATCTTTAGTTGTTACATTGTTATATCATATTATTACATTCGTATTATTATTATTGATGCAGTGAAAAGCACAATTAACTTGCTACAAAAGTGCTCATGTATTCATTTTTTATACTGTTACTTAATTTACTGTTTGACAGTTTGCATTAAATTGTATGTATTAATTTCAGGTTTTAAAATATTTAACCGCAAAGTAACTACTTTTCACTACTATCTGTTTCATCTTAATACATCCATATTTGCTTTTCTTCTCCACCACAGTGGGAAGCCATGTTTTCAGTGGAATGATTTTAACTAAAATATATGAAACAGTTTAACATATGTTCATTAAAAGCAAATGAACTGGTTCATTCTACTCTGGACAGGAAGGTTTTTAAACTAGGACGCGTTTCCGGGCTCCTACGCTGACATGATGCAATCTCACACAGTAAATGACACTGGACACAGCCCTGGGGAAAAAGGGCAGCAACATTCCTGCTCTGCGTGGACATTCACACACAACCCTTCCTGTTGCCATATATCTCCTCAGAGCCTCAGATATGCGTGTATATACATTAACCCCCGAGGTCCTCTGCTGTGGCCTTTGCCTGGTTCTAAATAAAGCAGGGCCTAAAAGTAGGTAGCGGGCCATGAGTTCAGGTCAAAGGGAATGTGAAACCAAAGACCAGGAGGGAGCTAGCCTCAGAGCAACACACTGTGTTTACGTGGATGTTTTCTGTCAGGCAGGCTGACTATATGTTTAATGATGAGCAGAGTGTTTGTGTTTGTGTAGCTATTCTCTCAGCAGGCTGAGGACAGATGTGTGTAATTTACTGTGAGACGCAAGGGAGATGATTGTGACTGACTCCTGGTTTCCTGTTGTGGAGCAGTACTGTCCATTACACAGTAATATGTATCTGTTTTAAAAATAGGTTTAAAATCCAGATTCAGGGAATCTAAAAAAGAAAGGGGAGGTTCTGGGAAACTTAAAAAGGTCTCGGGGAGGCTTTAATAGACAGGTTTATTCATGTATTTTATACCCGTGTTATTCATGTTTTATCTTTATTTTATTATCTTGCTTTTCAATTACTGTTTTTAAATGTCATTTTATAACGTGTTTCCGCTGCACTATTTCTTAATGCTCTTAATGTCTTTTATTTTTGTAAAGCACTTTGAATTGCCTTGTGTTGTTGAAATGTGCTATATAAATAAACGTGCCTTGCCATACAGGGAATTCAAGTAAATGCCTTTTGCAGACTTCTGTAGTTCACATCAATGATGAAAATCCTCATTTTAATAAGGCATCAAATCAGTTTTCTCATCAATTCTAAAATGTAATGATTGAAGCCTTCCTCTGAATCATGTAATTGTGAATAACATATTGTTAAGGAAATTGAAATGGGCAATTTCACCTATTTTCTTAATATAATCAATGGTATACTCAATTCAATTAAATCAATAATCTGATCATCTAGTTGCATGTGTAGCAGCAACCCAGAATTGATAAAATTAATAAAAAAGGCAATTACATTTTCAAACTCACTATTAGAGTGAATCATCATTTGTTTTAATTCAGGACGAAGGGTTGAGTTCTTGAACAATGTTTGGCAGGATGACAGAGTTTATGTTTGTTCATATATTTATCTTCAATTTGTACTGTATTTTATATTACCAATGTAATCCTTATTATTCTTGCACTATTTGTATTCTTTATTATTTAATTACTTACATTTAATCACTATTTGCATTACCTTCATTAGTGCCATTCCTGTGTTCATCAGTGTTTGAATGCCTACATTTCCATTGGGATAAATAAGGTATCAATCTATTTAGAATAAAGTCACTTTTTCCAGCATTTGGCCGTTATATCCTGAGTCCCTGGTGGGAAGTTCTGAGTGGTGCACATCTACAGTGTACAGCACCCACAGATCATAGCCTGGGTTACCAGTAAATGATGCAGTGGGTATCATCAAGGAACCAGTAGGATGTCGAGCAGCGCTTTTATTGAGCCCTTGTTTCCTCTCTTGTGTTTTCAGAACCCTAATTCTCTGGAAAGCTCGATCCAGAACCTGCTGTCGGTGCTGTACCCTCCCTTCGAGGCTACCGCCCCCACTCTCCTCAGCCAGCTCTTCCAAGTCATAGACAGCCGTTATCGGGGGGATGCCCTGCGGTGCCTGCTGGACTTTCTGGTGCCAGCCAAACACATCTTAGACAGCGTGCAACAGGCTGCATGTGTAAGTCACTGTTTATAATACACTTATGGATAAAGACACCTACATTCCCTATGTTGATATGAAACAAAGCTGCCCAAAGATCTTCTAGCTGGGCTTTCATAAGAAAAATAAGCTTATATACTTTCTGAATCTGAGTATTTTCTCTCCTTTAGGCTCAGTACTCTGATGTTCTATTCCTGTGTGAGGGCTGGCCTCTGTGTTTGCGTGACCAAGTTGTCGTCCACCTTGCTCCCATCAACCCGCTGATACTTCAGCCCGGCGACTTCTACCTCCAGGTGGCCCCTTTCTGTGACCAATCAGCTCGCATCGTAGTCTGCAGCCTCCTGGAAGAGGAGGGGCTTGAGGTGGAAGTAGTAGAGGAGAATCCCATCCCTGAGACTTCCTATCCTTGTATATTCAGCTCTGACTGGTTGGAAGAGATCAACCAAGGCCGCCATGGAACGCCTCTCAGCCGCTGCCTGCTAACCACCGAGCAGGGCGTGGTGAGGTTACCATGGGGACGGGTTGCTGTGCCTGATTTTGTGGACGTGCCGCTGTGTGCTGGGAGTAGCATGGCCTCTGCTTCTCCTTCATATCCTCCTTCATATCCTCCTTTACCTCCGATTCCTCCACCTCTTCCTCATTTTCCTGAGAGTTCTTCTTCAAATTCTTTATTTCCTCTTCCTCCTTCAAAAGAATCGGCACCAAAACAGTATCCTGTTAGCGTTCATAATTCAAATTTATCATCTTCTTCTCATCCGTCTTCCTTCTCCGTGGAGACCAGAATATGTCCAGCGAGGCACGGCATTGCTGTGTCACTCCGCCTGGTGGATACTAGCGCTGCGTCTTCCTCACGGCCGGTCAAAGTTAAACAACCTGAAGCTGAGCCTAAGCCTGTGGGCTGGGTGTCCCCTAATACTTGGGACAGCTGCTCTACTGGGGCAGGTCCAAAAACAAGCACTGTTCCAGGTGCAGGCACTTCTGCAAGGGACGATACAACTAGGTGCAAAGGTGAAGAAAAGGCTGGAATTGTTTCTGAAAATATAGGGCCGCAAAAACCTAAAGATATAAGCAGAAGAGGCCCAGTTGTGGAGGAAGGGGAATATATTGATATACTTCAGGCAACTATGCTTTTTAGTAGAGCTAAGTCAGCAACTAAAGAACGGCAGAAATTAGAAGTGCAAATGCAACCGCACACACACATTGAACCACAAACGCAAAGACTTCCACACAGGCCACCACATCCACAAATGGAGTCGCACAGGCAAACACAGAGTCATCCACCTCAAGCCCAGTCACAAGCTCAGGTGCAGTTTCTCACAAAGCCACAAACTCAAAGTCATGTTAGACCAGAGGCGGCTGCATCATTTAGGCCCAATGTGTCTGAAAAACCACCTCCGTACCATTCCCAATCCCATCAGCCTCACCCTGACTCCCTGGAGGTTTCTCAGTGTGCCCGCTTCTCAGAGAAACCCTGTACCCCGTGCCAGAGGAGAAGACAAGGCGGAAAGGCCTCCAGGGCTCCGGAGCTGAAGTGTCGATACAGGGACTCCTACCAGGCTGCTATAAACAACCCTGTCAACTTTAAACAGGAGAAGGGGCACATGTTGGCAATGGTGGAGGAGGATGGTTTCTCTAAGTGTGATGAAAGACTACCAGAGACAGAGGATCCGCGGTGTAATGTTCAAGGAATGTGGATTAACCCTGCTACGCAACAGCAGCCTCCTTCCTCGGTCTGTGAGGAGTCGGGAGAAAAAAACACTGTTCCATATTGGAAAACAGGAGATACAAACAATGCCCCCTGTATGGATTACAGGGGAACACATGCTTTAAAATGTGGTGGGCTACCAGAAGCAACACCTGAAAGGACCACTCAGCCATTTAGGGAACCAAGGGATGCACACTCTGCCAAAACTTGTGGCAATTTACACAATGTAAACGGGACAAATGTAGCGGCAGGAACGAGGACAATCACTAATAGAGCTTTGTCTAGTTCAAACAATCAGTCAGATGTCATCTCTGTTAAACACGGCGGATTACCGTTTACTTCCTCTGAAATCTCAGCGGTGAACCTCAAGCCTTGTGAAAGGCTACAAAGCAGAACCATTTCCACGGGAGTGAGTGCTAACTTTCCTCTTTCAGCGTCGCAGAACAGACCGGAGTCCATGTCTGATGGCAGATGTTCCTCCCTGTCCACAGCTGTGGTGGACACCTCTGAGAAGTGTTCGCTGGTCATTGTTGAAGGTCAAAATGTTCGGAGAAAAGACAACTCCGGCTCCTGTGGAACGATTCCCCAGCTGCATGTGGTGAAATGTAAAAACAGCACAGCCTTTGGACTGGTTTCACCCAAGATCAACAGGAGGAATATGGCAGCTCCAGGTACTAATGTCATCTTGTTCTTTTCACTTATTCTACTCTGGTCAGACCTTTAGCAGGAGGTTGTGAATTTCATAATTGCGTAGAACTTACATAAAGGTGCTTCTAATAAGCGTTTAGTAGTATTACAAACACTCATTCACACACTTGTTACATTTAAATAATTTTAAATAACTTGTTACCAGTTTATAGATTGCTTTAGATTGTTAAAAAAAAACCTAGAAGTTCCTTATAATTATTTTCTAATAGCAATACAGATACATGTATTGACTAACGTACCTTACCTTTACAAACCTTGTTGTTGCTATCTTAAGATAAATCATTTTATTTTTTGTAGCTAACTATGCACTTACTAACAGTGAATTATGCTATTTACAGCTACCAGTTATACATTGAAATGCATTAAAACCTTTAAAAACTCAAATCTAATACGGATTTTGTCTATGAACGTTTTAAAAGTGACTTGTAAGTGACTTGTAAGTGCTTATAAATGTCTTATAATCTAACAAAAAACATGTTTATGATGCTCTAGTAACACTTATGTGGTCTTATTAGAACACAATGATGGTAATAAGCATCTTTACCTAATAACTAACACGTTGTTGTAGGGCTGTGCGATTATGGCAAAAATCCTAATCACGATTATTTTGGTCAATAATTGATATCACGATTATTAAAAACGATTATCCATTTACTTTGAAAACATCCATTTATTGAAACAAAAATGTGAACAGTATGTTTTTAACAGTTGATTACCCTGAACCTTAAGTAGAATTCAACTGAAAAAAAAAAAAAATTAAAAAATAATAATTACATTTCTTCTTTTTTTTTTATAAAAATAATAATCGTTTTATTTCGATTACGTTGTTTTCGTAATCGTTGCAAGCCAAAATCGTAATCGAGATTAAAATACGATTAATTGCACAGCCCTACGTTGTTGTGTAGCGGATTAAAACCAGTCACATGTGTCCACTCTCCACAGAAGCTGCTCAGCCTGGCAGTACGTTCAGCAGCAGAGATGGCCATCAGACGGAGAAGCCGTCACAGACAGATCCAATTCAAGCAGCAGAGACACAGAAGATGTCCCAGCCCACCTCCACCCGTCCCAGACCGGACCACCTCCCCCTGGGGTCCCCGGACCCCAGAGCCCACCCCCTCTACTTAGGAGTGGCAGCTCTCACCGGTGAGTTCGTTTGAGACACAGCAAATAACCACGATGATCAAATGAATCAATATACATTGTTCTTTGCTCTGCATTAACAGAACACATGTACAAATGAGAACAAATAAAATAATTGTATTTAATTAAATAATAGCTAGCATATTGAATATTGTAAGATTACCTTTTCTATTTAAATATAAAGAAGCCTCCCTCCTTTGTAATCCTCCTCAAGTGTCAGCATGAGCAACACTGGGATTCATGGTCAAACACATCTATTGAAAAGTATAACAAAGTGGATGCTTTATTCTCTCTATTCTCTCTTTTAGAGGTCAATAAATTACTGTTCATTCTCCCAGAGAACAGCATGTCCCCTGATCTTTCCTCTCTCTCACCCCTTCAGGCGGCAGAGACAGGACAGGCCGGGCGATCGTGGAGCTGTACGGACATCACCAGGGATGGAGATCAGCTGTCACCAGCCAGGAGCTCTTCCAGATGCTGCTCTACTTCCGCACCATCACCAGGTCACATCCATATGCCAGTAAAACCATGAAGACATTAATTAACCAGGCTTTAACAAACCCTGTGTATTTAAAGTCAATCTACAAGGAAGTGTTAGCATTGTTGTGGTCATGTCTGTTTTATTGTGGTTGTGTATTTATTGGCTTTTTATTTTCTGGATCCAGGAGAGAAATCAGAGAAGCTGGGATGACTCTTATTTTTGATTCGAGGAAGATAAATCCTCAGCCGCAGCTCTACAAGGCCTTGATGACGCTTCAGGTAATGAGCAGAGAAACAGCTGACTACAGCTTTCAGCGTCAACTGTGGGTGTTTTTTTCTGAAAGCAGTCTAGTAAAATGTGTAAAATGTCAATGCTGAATAATGTAGCAGCTCCTGAGCATCAACATACTCCAGATTGTTGAATATATCTGTCTAATGTAACAAAGATTGTTTTGCAATTAATGGTGTAATATATTGTCTAACAAATAAAACGTTTTTTTTTCATTACATTTTGTTTATAAGATTGAAAAAGAAAATAATTTCGATTACTTACATATGTTTATGGCCTTTCAAGTGTCCTATGATTTATTTGTGATGATCAATAACAGGGTTTACCTGGAGGATGCATGAGTGTAGTTGAATAGATCTATAGTGATAAACTGTTTCAGGAGCTGACTCCGCACGCAGTAAACAGTTTCGTGCTGCTGGTGGACAAGGACAGAAATCTTCAGCCAGAGCGGTGTCCCGGCATCCAGGTCAGCTTTCTCCCACTTTCTCTAACTCTTGTTAGTTTCATATTCATTTGGGTAGCTGTAACATTTGATTGAAGGTTGTTTTCAGCCATGCTACCAGCGTGGCTATAGGGATGAAAAATGTGTTTGTCAGTTAATTTGTTGGATACTCACTTTGAGTAGAATATCTTGATAAAAGATGGATTACCATGAAAATGCGACTTTTATTGTCTCCAGAGGATAAATCCTAATGATGTTTTAAATCCATTCTCACTAATCCAGAAAGATATTTGAACAGCATTTGACAATCAACATTTGTGAGCCACAACATGACTTGCATTTACCTTCAGACATGTTTGCTTTGTTTAGGGTTAAATATTAACCGATGGATAATCCAATGTTTAGTAAAAAACACAAAGGGGGTTATGTTGCAAATAATGACGCTAGAATTTCTCCGTTGTTTATTCTTTGGAATGAAACATGTGGATGTATTTCTGACACTTGTGTCCTCTAAGCAGACTGAAGTGGTGACGTCGATGAAAGCCCTGTTGAAGCTGGTGGAGGCGAGTCAGCTAAGCTCTCGTCTGGACGGAGCGATGTCTCACAGCCCCTGTGACTGGATAGAGCTGCACCAGGTGAGACATGACAGCACATTACCTGCTGCTCTTCTTTAATGGAGTACTTTCATCATGATTTACTCCTGTCCACATCTTTTATTCTCTAGAAACTCTTCCCATTTGTGTCTGATCTTCATGAGGCATCCAGCCTTCTACTGAGAGCCATCAGTAGGTTAGAGGAGCCCCAGAGGACCGACACTGTACAGGTACCTTTCTTTTGACTGCTTACTCATGTAATTTAGGTATTAAAAGCTGTGATTATCTTCAGTTATTTAAAGGTAGGGTAGATAAGAATGGAGAAACCAGCTCGAGTGCGCTAGAATTTGAAACTACGCAGCCGAAGAAAATCTGCCCCTTCCTTCAGACTTCCTTACAGAGCCCCTCCTCCAACACACACACATGACCAATGAGGGCACGAGATAAGTTTGTGCACGAGATGGAAGGCTGACAGGCAGGTAGGCCATCCAGTTACTTTAGCCGGGCCGGCTCAGATGATTGGTCGTGCTTTTTACAGCGCCACGGCTTGTCGGCTTCTACAGATGAATTTTTGTATTTATTGTCAAAGCATTTAATGTATTCATTGCTATCGGGATGTTAAGAGCATTCCATGGAATATAACAAAAAGTGTTTCTGAAATAAATTACACACCCCACCTTTATTTAACTCAGTAAGTTTATATGGTTTTTTTTACAGTAGAAACTTAAAACATAGATCCATTGATATACAAATTCTGTTTAAAGGTCCCATGTCATGCTTTCCGGTTATTACCCGTCCCCTTGTGTGTTATGTAGCTTTTTATGCATGTAAACGGTCTGCAGAGTCACAAACCCTCAAAGTACACCCTGTAGCGAGTAAAACTCTAACACAGAAAAGATGTCTCTATATGCTGCCCCAGAACGCCTCGTTGGAGATTTTATTTTTCCATTTTTTTCTTCCGGGAACCAAGTGACGTAACAACGACCCCTACGCGAATTGGGTGGGGGTTAGGGGTTGGATCGATGCTCGTGAATTGTCAACGGGGGGGGGACGATTGTTTCGTCTCCAATCATATCTTCTATCTGAGATACGGAAAGAGAGGGGTTTTAGGTTGCCATCAGGTTGTTGACGGTCTTATTATACATCCATTGGTTGGTTTTGTGGCACATTTGTAACACTGTGCCAACTTGAGCGAGCACGCAGGGTGGAGAGGTTGAGCGAGGGAGAGAAAGGGAGAGAGAGAGAGGTTGAGCGAGGGAGAGAGCGAGGGAGAGAGCGTGTGCAGCGGTCTGCTTGCGCACAGAGCAGGAGTTTGTGAGAGGGCTTGAGAGTCAATTTCTCTTCAAAATATAATTGATTGCCTCTTGCCAGCCTCCCTTGTCCCTGGCTGCCTTGCTAGCTCGTTGGTAACGTAACTGATTTCTTCTAATGTGCTTGCATCTGGCGCTGAGTTGCCATATTCCTTTTGTGAGCTCTTTTTGTTCGTGAACCACTTCCTGATATCCATTGTTGCAGATAAATATAAATGATAATAGCCAAAATAACCTAGCAAGAGTAAACTGACAGGCTGCTGTGCCGCATCTCACTTAAAAAAAAACACACTTAAAAAAAAACCCACACACGACTCAACCCAGCGAAAAACCAGTCTCGCGTGCTGACTTTCATTCAGAATTTCATTCAGAATTTCCTAGCAAAATAAAAAAATTATATTAAACTAATCTTTCTACATAGTTTAATACAAACATAAATATTAGGACAAAGCCCTACAAATAACAACAATAAACATAATTATAATTTTTTTTATTTATTAATTTATTCAGCCCTGATTTCTCCTGGGCGGGCCCAAATCCTGGATGAAATCTGGGCGAGGCCCGGCCCGGGCCCGGTCCAAGCACACACACAGACCCACAGCCAGGCTGCGGGTGTGTGTGTGTGTTCTCCGGCCGAGCTCGGGCCAGGCCTCGCCGTGTCCCGCCGTCCCGCAGACCCCGCGAACGGAGCCGGCCTTTCTGCGCGAGTGTCGCCCAAATGCGGGACATAGTCTCAATTTGTGGGACACCTGGTCACACACACGGTGCTGCCCGCGTCCAACGACCACTACACCACTGCTAACGCCATTGTAACACATAATCACTGATGTTCCGCTGTAACGGTGGTGGACTCATCAGAACAGAGTGGGCGAGCTGACCAATCAGAGCACAGTGGGCTCACAGGGAGGGGGGGGGGGGGGGGCAGGAGCTCCAACAAGCCGTTTAGGACAGAGAGTGAATACACATGCTATACAGAGAATGAGAAACCAATGTGATTTTGGAAAATTGCACAATATAAATCTATTCTAGTAGACCTCAACAATGGAATTATGATCAGTAGAAATGGCCATGACATGGGACCTTTAAATATCTGGCTTATAGTTATCAATTTGTTAAAAGTTGGAAAAAATTGTAAATCCACCGGAATGTACAAGGAAGAAGCATAAATGTTGATGTGAAGGAATTATTGTATGACTAACTCATTTTAATATAAATGTATTTCTGTCCAACAGTGTGTGCAGCAGTGCATGGTGGACCAGAGGACTCTGATGAGGAATGTACTGGAGGACAGTCGATTGGTCGAACTGCAGAGGGAGGGCGGGGCCGTCCTGGCGAGGTTAAGAAAGGAGAGTGACCTCAAGTACCCCCACTGCGAGGAGCTCAGGTAAACCTCTCACTACTGCATTCACATGTACTGAATGTCTTTGTGAGGGGTGAAATGTTTCTGTTTTCTTACTAAATAGTTGTATTTCTCTCAAGCCTATGATCTATCTTTCTCCCATGTGCAGTGACGCAGTGGACTCGGTGTCCAGCCTGTACAACTACGTGGAGGAGCAGGCTCACGTCCTCGTGCAGAGGTCCAACATGTCTGTGGAACACCTGGAGTACCTGCTGCAACTCAGAGAGATGGAGGGACACTTCACGCAGGTGAGTTATCCAAGCTCATCAATGAAGTCGTACACATACGCACATATACATATAAATAGTTTACTGATTAGATTAGGACTTTTTAAAGTAAGTTACACATGTACATGCTCATACTAACAAACACAATATTGCTTTGCCTCTCCCTTCCCTGCAGATGCAACAGTGGTTGACTGTAGAGGGAGAGCGCCACCTGCCCGAGGCTGAGTCAGTCGAGGACTCTGGAGAGCAAATGGAGCAGACCCTCAACAGCTTCACTCGCTTCCTCATTGAAGCTAATGTGAGTCTATGTTTTCTTGTGGCTATTATCGTGTGTTTGGGTGCCTCTGTCCGTCCACCTGTCTGAATCTCTCTCTCCCTCCTCCTGCAGGACCGCAGACACCACGCCATGACGTTAGTGTCAGAGGCAGACCTCCTCCAGCAGAGTGGGCTCTCCTACCCAGAGACGGAGGAGTTCTGGACTCTAGTCTGCTCCTTCAAGTCAGGCCTGGAGGAGTTCCTGTGCAGAGCAGAGGCCTGTGGCAGGGAGCTGCAGACCATGGTCAACGTGTGTGATTTCTGTGAGCAGGTTGGTGTGAGACATTACAACAGTTATCAGTAAACATTCAAGTATTCAAGCTTCGTATACAGCTAGTGCTTTTACCCCAAATAGTGTTCTGATAATTATTTGCAAATATAACTTTGCGCATTCATGCATACAGTATACCGTATACTATTACTATAACCACTATACATCCTTGTTGCAGAATGATGCAGGGCCAACAATAACCAATCACGCATCAATGTAACTGAAAAGGGTTTTCAAATACTTCTCTAAATACAGTAATTCCTCGTCAAATTTAGTACATTGAAGTATTTTTTAGTCAATACGTTTTTTGTTGTGGAGAAATCATGAAAATGAATAATTTGTTGTTGCCTAAACACTCCTTACTCTTTTAGGATGATTTCAAATGAATAATTAAAGGTCATTACTTAGAAATGAAAGCCATTGCAATGCATTTTTTGCTCTTTCACAGAGATTTAATCACTTTCAAGAAAGCAGTTTTTGTATGTGCTGATTTATGATAGTGAAGTGCAATCCTGCTTCTTCTTCGCTGACATTTGTGTCAGGTTATAAAATGTATGTCTGTGGAGGGTAACATGATATTAAAGAAGTAGATGAGAGCATGAACATTTCTTATCATGAATAATAAAAACAACTTCTCATATCTCGAAATAGGCTAATGCTCTGGCCAGCGAATGCATTGAGTACCTGGACCAGACTCAATCCAGAATCTACCAAAAGCAAAACCGTGACCAGGATACAGCACCTGTCAATCAAGCCAACACTCAGCCAATACAGCGCCACAACCAAGACCCTCGATCGAGCACTGCATCCCTTTTCCCATCTGATGCATCCCACCCAACCACCACCAGTGTTATACCGTCCAGCAGTGACACCTCCGTCCTCCAGACCTTCCAAGACAGGTTCCTCCAGTTCAGCCCAGATACATTTCAGGAAGTGAAGGCCCAGGCCAGCGCCCTGAGGGGCTCCAGGGGGATGCAGGTCTGGAACGTAGCCTGGCTGCGATGCCAGGAGGCCAGGCAGCAGCTTCAGGAGAGGATCCGGGAAGTGGATGAGGTTTTCCACCCTGAACCAGACTCTAGCAGCTGGTGTGAAGGTCATTATGTTGATGTGGTGAGCACTACTGTTCAGACACCGTCGCCTGGGAGCCAGAGTCTGGTGGTACAGTCAACACCCGGACCTGGTCACCCGCAGTGGGAGGGCATCGTGTCGGGAGCCGTGGATTTAGGGAAGAGAAAGCCGATCCTGGGCAGCAACAACACAGACCCAACATCTGCTGCCTGCTCTAACATCAAACCTGAAGATCACAGCCAGGGGTCAAAGGTCCCTCCACAGTCTCCTCACAGGTAATATGTTGGTCCATTCATCTCACTTGAGAAGGATTTGGTATTTTTCATCAGGATTCAGAGTTCTTGGTTGGATTAGTCAACTAATACACTAGTTGACTAATCATACAAATAATTAATCATCAATCAACTATTTTAACAATCTATTAATGGATTAAGTCGTTTTTTATGAAAATGGCAGATAATGCTATGTTTTATATCATAATATTTTAGACTGACAAAACACAACATTTAAAGACCTTAACCAGGACTTTGAAAAAAGTGGGATGGTAATGTTTCAACTTTTTTGACATTCTACAGAGCAAAACATGAATTGATTGATCTCATCTGTTCCCTCTAAAGTGAAGGTCTGTGATGTTTCCACTGTGTAAAATACTCTGTTAAGGTGCCTTTTCATAATCTAATAGTAGGACGACAAGGAGAACAGAAAGAGAGACAAGGAGGAGACAGACGAGCAGAGCGAGGAGCGAGAGGGACGCCGCTGCTCTGTCTCAGTCCCACACTGTCGGCTGCCAGTGGTTTCCATGGGGACGAGGTCTTGGATCCAGGTCGGTGAGCCAGGACTCGTGCATCACAGCAGCAGCAGCGACGGCGGGGTCCTCCACTCCTCCAGAGCAGCGGGGGCGCCCCTCTTCGTCCTGCTCACACCACGGCCAGCCGTCCTGTCGGATCCTCCAGGAGGCTCAGAAGTTCCAGCTGTCCCGACACGGCAGCTTCTGCTCCGAGGACTCCTGTATGAGCGACCGGGGGGCGGCGGGGGGGGACGGGACTTTAGGCTGCAAACACTCCAGCCTGCCCATCGGGAGATATGAAGGGGCCTTTGGTTCGGCAAATCCACAGGAGAGTGCCAGCAATGCACTGTAAGTTTACTTCATGTGGGTGAAGTGTGCTTGCATTACTAATCTAATTAATCTGACTTAGTCTCTGCAAGATATAATTCTCTGAGTTGATTGACATGCCTTTATTTGACTAATGTTGTAAGTCTTAATGAAATGTCATGCACTCTTTTCTGCCTCTAAGCCTCCAATGAAGTGCTACAGGTACTGTTTTCTCTGCTTCTCTTCCCCTCTCTTTTTGCACTAGTCAACTTTTTGTTTGTTTCTATCACAGTGCATGGAGTAAGATTAAAAGGACAGCATGTCAATGTATCATCTGCTGAAACGTTAAATTACTTTGTCAATATGCTTTCAATGCACGTTTAAAAAACTACGACTACAAGTACCTAATTCAGATATAACTAAATACCGGAAATCTGAGAATTCAGTATCAATTAGCTGTAAAACCAATCAAGGAAATCACAGAGTAACATTGTGAGAAACAATAATGTACAAAGCATTTGTGAGTGACCTTAGTATTCACAGAACTACCAATATGAGAATTAAAAACATTTACTTATATGATTTGTTTTGTACAGATGCAGAGAACACGTATTCAACGGTTGAAGAGATACAATTTGTTATTTGCAAATACTACTAGCTAATAAATATATTTATGAAGAATATGCTCTTGAGTGTCCTAGGTCTGAAGTTATTTCTGTCTTGTTCCCAGGAGGCTGCAGCGTGTCCTGGAGGAGCTGGTGTTCACAGAGAGGGAGTACGTCCGCTCTCTGGGCTACATCCTGACGCACTACCTCCCCCTGCTGGACCGACCCGACATCCCCCAGGACCTCCGGGGCAAGAGAGGCGTCATCTTCGGTAACCTGGAGAAGCTTTACGACTTCCACAGCCACTATTTCCTGCCGGAGCTGGAGGCCTGCCAGAGGGAGCCCGCCATGGTGGCCCGCTGCTTCCTCAGACATGTGAGGAGTAACTCCACAACTGTCATAAATATATAACTGTATAAATAATTTGTTTGTGTATAATATTAGAAATTCTCATTAATATATATTTATTACATTACATTACATGTTACTTGTTAGACGCTTTTATCCAAAGCGACTTACATACATTCAGTACTGTGGGAAATCCCCACAGGTGCAATTTGGGGTGAAGTGTCTTGCCCAGGGACACAACGACATGCTGACTGCAGTGGGACTCGAACTTGCTATCCCCTGATTCAGAAGTTCAGCGCACTATTCCACTGAGCCACAGCATCCCCATGGTTAACACTGTGGCCCTGAACAGCTCTATGTCAAATCTGATGTGACATAATGTGACGTTACCATGGCATAAAACCCGATGTCGCTGTAACTCCAATGGACACGGTCCGATCGTCCCCCAATCTTCACTTGTATATCACCGGTCCATGCCTCAACAGCTCTACGCCAAATCTGACAACATATGCCATTTCCATGGCATCTCTCGCCAAAAAACACGATGTTGTCGTAACTCCTATGAAAATAGTAAAAACAGCACCAGACTTCAAATGATGGCTAATGGTCCGGCCCTCAACAGCTCTATATCAATTATGGGGTGTCATCATATGCCGTTACCATGGCGACAGATCCCATGCCATGAAACATGGTGTTGTCATAACTCAATGGAAAATCGTCCAAACGGCACCAGACTTCAGATAATGGTGAATGGTCCGGCCCTCAACACCTCAATATGACAATAGTACGTTTTCCTCAAAAAGTGTTCAAACTTCACATTATGTGCTAACGGTTCAGCCCTAAAGACATATATGTATCAGTTTTGAGATTTCGTCAAATGCCGTTGCCATGAAACACGGTTTTCTCATAACTCCATTGAACATGCTCCAAACGGCCCAAAACTTCACAGGTTTGATAACGATGCAGCCATCAACACATCTAGGCGTATTATGGGGTGTCATCAAATTTCGTTGCCATGGCGACAGATCACTCGCCATCAAACACGATGTTTGTGTTACTCATGGCCCTCCCTGGCCAACATGAGGCCCCATGCAACGATATATGATGAGGCCCTCTGTTTCGCGAGCGTCGACGGGGGGGGATGGGGGGGGGGCGTGGGCACTGTTCGAAATGGGGGGGAGCCAGGGGGAGCTTGGCTCCCCCGAAGAGGGAGGGAGCTCCCCTGAAGGCCGACTTTGAGATAAATAGGGGGAGCCCAAAACAATCGTGCATATTTGTGTCACACAGATTAGAAATGTTGAGTTTCTATAAATAACAGTTCTTGAAATAAATAATAGTTATTGTTCATTACAGTTTCTGAATATTTGTTTTATATTTGTGAATATTTCTGGGTGTTGCCATCTGTACGTGGCGGCGCTGCATTCTTTACGCTACTTACGTTGCTATGGTTATGGTGGCGATGCCGGCGCGGTATTTGAAATGTTCATATTGACATATTTTTTTAACTCTGGCTTTGTAATAAAAAATATGGCAAAACGAAAACAGCCAAGCCTCGCAGCTTTTGGATTCACAAGCAAAGAAGCGAAGGAGTCTAAAAATGACAACGTGAACGGAACAACTTTTAGTTGGCCGGCTGTTAGCGGCGTTAGGGTCGAGTTTGACAGCTCCACACCGAGGGAGAGGCCTGCCGATGCGGAGCCTGAAGAGGCTTCAACAACGGCCACAGCCGCCGGTGTAGTGACACCGTCTGTAGTAGTAGCAGAGTGTTTTTATAGCAATTGATCGAATCCGCACTGCTGCGCCAGTCAACAGAGCGTGCGTGTGACATATTTAGTAGCAGGATGTGCACTGAAAAATAGGGCTCCCCCGAAAGCAAATGGGTAATTCGAACACTGGGCGTGGGTGCTAGTGGAGCCTCGCAGCGGTGAAACCGTGCCGCGCGACACTAATTGCGCCGCATAAGCGCATAGGTGCGCTGCATTTTCGGCTCAGTTGAGGTTCCCTCCGCAAGATGAGGCCCCCTCTGCAAGGTGAGGCCCCCTCTGCAAGGTGAGGCCCCCTCTGCAAGGTGAGGCCCCCTCTGCAAGGTGAGGCCCCCTCTGCAAGATGAGGCCCCCTCTGCAAGGTGAGGCCCCACGCAGTCCGCGTGATCGGTCTGTAGGGAGGGACGCACCCTGGTGTTACTGCTCTAACTCCTAAAGATATTGTCTGATCGGCCTGAAATCTCCCACGTTTGCTAACGGCCGAGTCCGGAAAACATCTGCGTAATGTCGACATGCGGACAACAGCCTGCGGTGCGTCGAAGACCCGCTCAACGCTGCTTGTTTTTGTTCTCTTTAGTTTGTTGTCTTGTTTTGTTTCTTTGAAAGCAGTAATGTTGTGTCCTTGTTTCTCTTTATAGTATATTTTAAGTCTCTTTGCAGTTGTTATGCATTTATGCATCACTTTATATTCATTCTGTGTCTCTTTGTCGTCATTTTAAGTTTATTTCTTAGTCCTTTTGTGTCTTTTTTGTCATTTTAAGTTTATTTTAGTAATTTTGTCGTCATTGAAGTTTATGCTTTAGTCATTTTAAGTAGATGTTTTGTCATTGTGTCTCTTTTTTGTCATTTTAAGTTCATTTTTATGTCATTTTGTCTCTTGGTCGTCATTTTAAGTTCATTTTTGTGTCTCTCTTTACTCATTTTAGGTAGATTCCTTTGTCATTATGTCTCTTTGTGGTTATCTTGACCCTTATCATAGTGGTTCTGAGTCTAACATTGGTCATTTTTAAACTCTCTCTGCAGCGCTGACCCTTTGTTAACCCACGCAGATTTCTTAAACTCATTCCAGTAACGAGTAAAAGGGAGTCGAACATCTGTCCTCAGTTCCTGTTTTCAGATGTTTTGAAACCTTTTCACAATGTTTAATGGAACTACAAAACCAACATAATTAAATAAAAGCAGTTTTATTCCCGTGAAGAGCATAGTATAAAACCATTTTATTTTGTGTCAATTGGATGAAATAACACCTTTACATTTAGAAACAGGTCAAAATGTTTTACTATTATAATTGTTATTTTTGTATAATTGTATTATTATTCAAGTCTTTGTGTCTCTTCGTATTCTTGTTGTGTCTCTTTTAAGTCATTTTGTAGTTGTGTTGTGTCTCTTTGTAGTCCCTCTGTATCTATTTGTCTTCATTTTGTGTCTCTTTGAAGTCCTTTTCTTTGGTTTTCTGTCTCTAGTGACCGTAGTTTATTTTTTTGTATCTATTATTTTCTCTTTATTGTTTATTAATGTGTGTTTTTTGCAGTCATTTTGTGTCTCTTTGTAGTTTATTGTGCCGCTCTCTTTGTAGTTTCTTTTGTCTCTTTATAATAGATTTTGTGTCTCTGTAGTAATTTTTTTCAAACACAATGTTTATGATACTTCTGTAACTCCTATGTACGTTGTCCGATCGGCCTGAGACACCTACGTGACACGTCGACGTGCGGACAACAGCCTAGACCCGCTCAACGCTGCTTGCAGCTTTAATTTTGATTATTATTTAATTTGAATAATTTAAGAAATTAGTCTTGAAATTAATAAAAAGTAATCCCACCCTACTCTCAAGATTTAGAAGACTTCACTTACAGGATTTCAGTCAAATAATCAGATGATCAATACTATACTGTTTTATTATTGAATATATATGTGGCTTCTAAGAGTTAATTGTCTGCTTTTTTAATTATTAATATTTTCTAATATGGTTTAACCTGGGGCTCTTCCACAGAGTGAGAGCTTTGGCCTCTACGCTCTGTACAGCAAGAACAAACCACTGTCAGACGCCCTGATCCTGCACCGCCGCCATGACATCTTCAAGGTCAGTTTCTGCCCTATTTTTCTCTTATAGGAATGTCTCACCCAATAAAATGACCAATTGTACGAAGAATGCAACAGCAGGTTCAATGTGGGTAAGGAGGAAAAGAGATGTTTGTTTTTTTGTGAGTCTCCTGACACACCGGGGACAAATATTTATGTATAAAAGACATCAAAAAGTGCATTTTGCATAATAGGGGAACTTTAAGTCTCATTTATTATATTTCATGTTTGCTTCCCCCAAACCCAGGCATGTTTGCATTCATTTAAGGCATTTTTCTGTAGTCATGTGCTTAAACCCTAATTGTTTTAACTGTAATAGGTAATACATTTCATCACACCCTGGGAGTGTTATTGCCATGCTTCACAGATGTACACTCACACTTTGTTTCCCCCCGCAGAAGAAGCAGCAGGAGCTGGGGGACATGATGGACCTGTCCTCCTACCTGCTGAGGCCCATCCAGAGGATCAGCAAGTACAGCCTCCTGCTGCAGGACATGCTGGCTCTGTCTGGCTCACACAGGCCCAAAGACATGATCCAGGACTCACTGCTCGCTTCCAGCATGTGCCCACAGAGTGTGAGCGGCCCGGGTTCATATGTGCCTGATCAGATGAGCAGGGAGAGGGAGCGAGAGAGGGCTGAGATCCAGGCTGCTGCAGATCTGGTCCGCTTTCAAATGCGTCATGGCAACGATTTGCTCACCATGGACGCCATCCAGGACTGTGATGTAAGATAATACAATGAAATATAACAAATACTTGATACACAGCAGTTCAATACAAATGTTTTATTTTCTGCTTTGCTCTCTGCGCTATCAGGTGAATTTAAAGGAGCAGGGCCAGCTGATTCGCCAGGATGAGTTCAATGTTTTCTTCCGGAAGAAGAAATGTGTCCGCCGCATCTTTCTATTTGAAGATCTCATCCTCTTCAGCAAAACTAAGAAGACAGTTATTGGCAACGATGTTTATGTCTACAAGCAGTCATTCAAGGTCAGCACACATCCTGTTTTATCAAAATGCTTGATATTCAACCTCATTTTGATATGCACTATATTCTACTTCCTTGGTTTTTTGTTAGTTTTGATGCTTCCTAGTGAAGCAGAATTATCCAACCACACTTGATTATTTTTACCAGTGTATTTTCTGTGTTTTCTCTCCCAGACTAGCGACATTGGGATGACTCACAACTCCAGTGTGAGCGGTTTGTGTTTTGAGATCTGGTTCCGCAGGAGGAAAAGTGGGGACACCTACACCCTGAAGGCCCCCAGCATGGAGGTGAAGAAAGCCTGGACCACCGACCTGGAGAGGATTCTGTGGGATCAGGCCGCCCACAGCAGAGGTAGTAGCTACAACATGTAGTACTTAGCTTAGCACAGTTTACTAAGTGCTGCACAGGTTAAAACAAACACATTTCATATATATGTTTCAGATTTGCGTTTGCAGGAGAGGGTTTTCATGGGAATGGGCCGCAAACCTTTTATGGACATTCAACCCAGCGATGCTGCCATCTGTGATCGATCCGTCAGCTGCGCCCTGCCTGGGAGAAGTAAGAAGCTGCACACACAAACATTTATTTTTAGAAAGCTTCAGAATATTTTTTACTGAAGAGAGAACATTTTGCAACTTTCAATTTTCAGTTCAATCCTACTTATTTCATAATACACACTCAATCTACAGGTTTAAATATATTTCATCATTTATGTTATTTATCGTGCAATATAATATTTCAGCTATATTCATTTATTTTGAATTGCCAAAACTGTTGTCTGGATAGTACTTAGAGTACCAGACACTAGTATATCAGCATTTGGATGGATTCCCAACATTTGCTTTAGTGTCACCATTGGGTTCACATGCATGTTTTTAGTGAAATATCTCAACTGCCAGCTTGATTGTCATAAAATGTAATGCAAACAATTATGTTCCCCTCAGGATGAATTGTAATACCTTTGTTGATACCCTGACTTATCATCTAGCCCCATCATCAGGTCAACATTTAAATTTGATTTATGGCCAAATACTTGCAAAACTAATTAAATTCCCATCTGCCTCAGCTGTGCTAATAAGCAAATGTTGCTAAAATAAAATGATGAACATGGTAAACATTATACTTCCTAAACATTAGCATGTTAACATTTTGAGCATGTTAGCATTTCACTTTAAGCTCTGCTGTGCACAGCCAACATGGCGGCTTGCATGGCTGTAAATTCTGTGGATTTTGAGTCGTGTTTACCTTTAAAATGTTTTGAGATTTCATTTGTTTTTACTTTTACATTTTGTTGTTATGTTTACCTAAAAAAACAGTAACTAACTGACCCAGCCCATTGTTTTCTCATTGATGACATCCATCCATGTGTGTCGTCAGTCCCTGTGGCGTGTTATTCACACAGGGGCTTAGAGTATCCACGACCTCACTCCATTGGCTCTGGCAGCACCGCTTCCACGACTATAAGCCAATCATCTTCCTCCTCTGGACGGGGCTCGCTACCCCCAGCTGGTTATCCCGGGAACCAATCACAGGGAGCGGAGACCGGTCTTTCTGTCTACTCTTCCCCTGAGGCTGTGACTGAAAATGAAATCAACAATCTTCACCTTCGTCAGTATCATCTTCATCGTAACTGTGAACAATGGAAAAGCAATCACCTACTAAGTACGTTTTTTTTTTTTTTTTGATAACAGAAGGGTCTGTTGGAAGTTGATTTCTTGGCTCAATAACTATCTAAATGAATAAACATAATCTGATTGTTTTTTAAAGTACCTGTTTCTGCTTCAGTGGACAGCACCTCATCATCTGGAGAACACATCAACGTCTTCAGCAGCTCGGACCGCAGCTGCCTGTCTGCCATTAATGCAGAGGTAGTGGACGACGCCTCCTCCGTCGTATCCCAGAGTTCAGTATACCACCCACCACTTTGCCGGACCCCCAGCCTGAGGGGAGACAGCTCACCAGCGATTACAAGAAAGAAACCAGGTGTCGCCCCCAAACCTCCACATCTGGCTAATGCTCAGCTACAGGTGAAGGAGTAACAAGATGAAGAAGACCTTCTGAATTTATGTGTGAGCTGAAGACAATGGGTCAAATATCAAAGTATTCTCAATCACATGTTGCTTCTCTAATGAATCAGAGTCAGAAACAGGTTGATTGCCAAGTCGGTTAACACATACGAGGAATTTCTCTTGAAAAACAATTGAAACTATTATCCGTTAAGATATAGAAAAGTATTAACATGAAATCTGGATATACTAAAAAACATGCAGAATACTATTGCAAAGTACTTATACAATACGATAAAATAAAAAAGAATATGTGCAGTGTTGTTATGGAAAGTGGACGAGATGTAGCTTGTGTACAAATTGTGCAGGACTGGCAATACTTAAATGAAATAAATAAAAACATGAAATAGTTTGCAAAGTGTGCATTAATGTCATGCATCCAGTATAGAGTGGCTGAAGGCACTTCAGGAGGTTTTGAAAGGGTCCAAATATGTGTCAAGAATTCAGCATAAATACTACAATATGCTACTGAGAAGACAAACAACGTATAACAGATATAGTATTATTAACCAAGACATCATGTTATAGGCTTGTTTTTTGAACATTTTATTATATTGAAGTATAAAAAAGTAATATTTGATATCTTGCATTGCAGGGGGATGACATTATAATTGGAAAATCAACAGAAGTCTAACCCTGGATTCCCTGCAAAAGGTAAAAATGTACATTTCTTAAATTAACATGCATTTAAAGTGAAAGTATAGGAAAATAACAGATCCAAGTTTTACTATTCTTAATTTCCACTTTGAAAAGTTAAATATAGTTACTAGTATTTACATTTAAGGGAATTTATTCATATTAATTGCTAGAATTATTAATATTTTAAAAGTCTAATTCAATCATCTAGCCATCTTAGATAACCTTGCTTAGCATCAAATGTATTGTTATTATTATTGTTTTGTTGTTGTTTTCATCAATATTCTCTGTAGTAATATGAAATTGTGCCTTGAATATTGTTGCAGATTGTCGGTGTTCTGAAGCTGCTCCGTCCTGTTGGAGAGCCTCCAGCTGCCCTGCAGAGTGAACACACACATGTCATGCTCCACAGTCACGCGGCTGCCAGCTTTGTCTGGTCACAAGGTTTTTAGTTTTCAGTGATTTATTGAACCAACTGAGGTTTGGTTTGTTAATATCACATGGCAGTCATTTAAATGTGGTTGTCTCATGTGTCTTATATCACATATAGTCTAAAATTACCACACACGAAAAGATGATGTAGTTGAAATATTGGTCATAAGGTGCACACACACACACATCATTTTGTGGGATCTTCTGTGCTATACAGCCTACAATTATTAACAGCAGGGATCATAGAGTGTTGTCTTTATTATCTTCTAGAAATGGCACAATGCTGGTTCACAAACAGAGAAGCAGCATCACCACACATGAGGGAGACCCTTTCAGGTGTATTGCCAGAGCACTGCTTGAGAAACAGCTGTATAACATAATTCTCCTGACAGCTGGACTACATTGTTTTGGTTACAGGATCATGAGGGGAACTTAATGGCAATAGGCCCAGCACTCGCTGAAGATACAAAACGTAGTTGATTACCATAAATGGAGAAGGATTCAATATGCAGAACCTAAATGGATGTTATATGTAGAAATAATATATATATAGGGATATTTGTTTTCTCCTACAGTTAAAGGTTTCCTGTTCATTTATGTACTACTGCTGTGTTTTTAAACAAATGTTTGTATCAGGTTTGTATCTGTCTGGCTCTGAGATTCTTACAGTAGTCCTGTATTCAAATAATTATTTGAAGGGACAGACCACTAGCTCATGTGCTTTCACATCAGGATTTGAACTACTTTGAAATAATTTAGCATACACACTCAGACACACACATTTTTACTACAAGCTTTAACGTACATGCTGAGGTACCACTTACTGTCTTTAAGGGTCCACTTGTGCTTACATACTGATCCATTTCCCAGCTACATCCTCAAGTAAATGACCATTACAGAAAGTTATTCTCATATGATTTTTGTTTCTTAATGAGTTATTAATGAAGGTCTGTGATTTTTATTGTACAGTATACAAGTGACAGGATCGTAAAAAAACTGAGGTCATAATGTTGTCCTCTGGTTATTTTAATTTCAAAGCCACTATCTTTTTAAAACATGACAGATCCATGTTTTTTAATTTCTTACTTGCTTTACTAGCTTTCTTTCATTTATTATTTTCATTGTTTCAATATTCAAATGTGGGGTCAGTACGGTTGTTGTTTTCTTTCTTTCTTCTTGTGTTTTTATTTTAAGATAAAGTATCACATTGTGTGGTTTCTCGCTTCTGGACTCTGACCAGACAGATTGCCGTAACATGAGGATGTCATCCGACAGCTTCACTTCCTTATTCCACAGACACATAATTCCTTAAAGACTGTAGACACCTGTTGCAATCTGTTTCATTTCCCTAGGTGCAGATTTTATTTTGGTGCTAAAGCAGTTGAAATGTCTTTCAGCTCTTTCTTTTGTGTGTCAGGGAGATTTCTCTCGCATTTTGCTGACACATTTGATTAAATATAGGCTCTCAGTCTAATAAACAATGTTTTACCTTTTTAAATGTGCATTTAATCAGGAAACAACACATTGAGGCTTTGGTTTCATTATCTATAGCATCCTTCAGTAACTGAACATTTTAAAAGTGAAAGACTCACCATGTGATCTGAGAAAAATGTGTGCCTTGCATAAGAAAAAAACGACTACAATCAGTTGCATTCAAGTTTTAACTGTATGATGTGTAAATTCCTGTGTTACATTATATAATGTCATTTATCAGTTGTTGGAACATTGTGTTAATGTTGAATCATTATACCAATTCACAGTATGTTGCAGCTCCAAAGAATGACATCAATAATTTATGAAAAAATGTTATTGTTGTTATTATTATTGTTTATATTTATTTTACAGAAATAAAGTTACTATGGTCTATCTGGCACATGTACATGTGTTTAGTGTTTTATATTTTTTATAATGCATAATTATGTATTATGTATGTGGCTGGAATTATTTTTAGTGTGCATTACTCATTATTTGATTTTATTCTGTTACAGTTTTTAAGCTTCTGTTCCCAAAGAAGAATCATTCACAATTGCCTTAAGGCCTTGGTCGAATAAATAAAAGAGAGAAAATATTTGTTTCAAGGTGAGGTAGGTAATTTTGGAGAAACCAGCTAGAATTTGAAAATACACAGCCGGAAAAAATGTGCCACTTCCTTACAGAGCCCCTCCTCCAACACACACGAACGCGCACATGACCAATGAGGGCACGAGATAAATGTGTGCCCCGATGGAAGGCTGACAGGCAGGTAGGCCATCCAGTTACTTTAGCCCGGCCGGCTAAAATGATTGCTCGTGCTTTTTACAGCGCCACGGCTTGTCGGCTTCTACAGATGAATTTTTGTATTTATTGTCAAAGCATTTAATATATTCATTTCTATCGGGATGTTAAGAGCATTCCATGGAATATAACAAAAAGTGTTTCTGAAATAAATTACACACCCCACCTTTATTTAACTCAGTAAGTTTATATGTTTTTTTTACAGTAGAAACTTAAAACATAGATCCATTGATATACAAATTCTGTTTAAAGGTCCCATGTCATGCTTTTCGGTTATTACCTGTCCACTTGTGTGTTATGTAGCTTTTTATGCATGTAAACGGTCTGCAAAGTCACAAACCCTCAAAGTACACCCTGTAGCGAGTAAAACTCTAACACAGAAAAGATGTCTCTATATGCTGCCCCAGAACGCCTCGTTGGAGATTTTATTTTTCCATTTTTTTCTTCCGGGAACCAAGTGACGTAACAACGACCCCTCCGCGAATTGGGTGGGGGTTAGGGGTTGGATCGATGCTCGTGAATTGTCAACGGGGGGGGGGGACGGGGGGACGATTGTTTAGTCTCCAATCATATCTTCTATCTGAGATACGGAAAGAGAGGGGTTTTAGGTTGCCATCAGGCTGTTGACGGTCTTATTATACATCCATTGGTTGGTTTTGTGGCACATTTGTAACGCTGTGCCAACTTGAGCGAGCACGCAGGGTGGAGAGGTTGAGCGAGGGAGAGAAAGGGAGAGAGAGAGAGGTTGAGCGAGGGAGAGAGCGAGGGAGAGAGCGTGTGCAGCGGTCTGCTTGCGCACAGAGCAGGAGTTTGTGAGAGGGCTTGAGAGTCAATTTCTCTTCAAAATATAATTGATTGCCTCTTGCCAGCCTCCCTTGTCCCTGGCTGGCTTGCTAGCTCGTTGGTAACGTAACTGATTTCTTCTAATGTGCTTGCATCTGGCGCTGAGTTGCCATATTCCTTTTGTGAGCTCTTTTTGTTCGTGAACCACTTCCTGATATCCATTGTTGCAGATAAATATAAATGATAATAGCCAAAATAACCTAGCAAGAGTAAACTGACAGGCTGCTGTGCCGCATCTCACTTAAAAAAAAACACACTTAAAAAAAAAAACACACGACTCAACCCAGCGAAAAACCAGTCTCGCGTGCTGACTTTCATTCAGAATTTCATTCAGAATTTCCTAGCAAAATAAAAAAATTATATTAAACTAATCTTTCAACATAGTTTAATACAAACATAAATATTAGGACAAAGCCCTACAAATAACAACAATAAACATAATTATAAAAAAATGTATTTATTAATTTATTCAGCCCTGATTTCTCCTGGGCGGGCCCAAATCCTGGATGAAAGCTGGGCGAGGCCCGGCCCGGGCCCGGTCCGAGCACACACACAGACCCACAGCCAGGCTGCGGGTGAGGGGGGGGGGGGGGTACATTGTGGACCTCTGTGGACCTCTGTCGCCTGTCAGCGCAACTTACATGATGCCGTTTAAAAAAGCGAACGGAGCCGCCCTTTCTGCGCGAGTGTCGCCCAAATGCGGGACATAGTCTCAATTTGTGGGACACCTGGTCACACACACGGTGCTGCCCGCGTCCAACGACCACTACACCACTGTAACACATAATCACTGATGTTCCGCTGTAACGGTGGTGGACTCATCAGAACAGAGTGGGCGAGCTGACCAATCAGAGCACAGTGGGCTCATAGGGAGGGGGGGGGGGCAGGAGCTCCAACAAGCCGTTTAGGACAGAGAGTGAATACACATGCTATACAGAGATGCTGTATGAGAAACCAATGTGAGTTTGGAAAATTGCACAATATAAATCTATTCTAGTAGACCTCAACAATGGAATTATGATCAGTAGAAATGGCCATGACATGGGACCTTTAAATATCTGGCTTATAGTTATCAATTTGTTAAAAGTTGGAAAAAATTGTAAATCCACCGGAATGTACAAGGAAGAAGCATAAATGTTGATGTGAAGGAATTATTGTATGACTAACTCATTTTAATATAAATGTATTTCTGTCCAACAGTGTGTGCAGCAGTGCATGGTGGACCAGAGGACTCTGATGAGGAATGTACTGGAGGACAGCCGATTGGTTGAACTGCAGAGGGAGGGCGGGGCCGTCCTGGCGAGGTTAAGAAAGGAGAGTGACCTCAAGTACCCCCACTGCGAGGAGCTCAGGTAAACCTCTCACTACTGCATTCACATGTACTGAATGTCTTTGTGAGGGGTGAAATGTTTCTGTCTTCTTACTCAATAGTTGTATTTCTCTCAAGCCTATGGTCTATCTTTCTCCCATGTGCAGTGACGCAGTGGACTCGGTGTCCAGCCTGTACAACTACGTGGAGGAGCAGGCTCACGTCCTCGTGCAGAGGTCCAACATGTCTGTGGAACACCTGGAGTACCTGCTGCAACTCAGAGAGATGGAGGGACACTTCACGCAGGTGAGTTATCCAAGCTCATCAATGAAGTCGTACACATAAGCACATATACATTTAAATATTAACTTAAATCGTTTATTGATTAGATTAGGACTTTTTAAAGTAAGTTACACATGTACATGCTCATACTAACAAACACAATATTGCTTTGCCTCTCCCTTCCCTGCAGATGCAACAGTGGTTGACTGTAGAGGGAGAGCGCCACCTGCCCGAGGCTGAGTCAGTCGAGGACTCTGGAGAGCAAATGGAGCAGACCCTCAACAGCTTCACTCGCTTCCTCATTGAAGCTAATGTGAGTCTATGTTTTCTTGTGGCTATTATCGTGTGTTTGGGTGCCTCTGTCCATCCACCTGTCTGAATCTCTCTCTCCCTCCTCCTGCAGGACCGCAGACACCACGCCATGACGTTAGTGTCAGAGGCAGAGCTCCTCCAGCAGAGTGGGCTCTCCTACCCAGAGACGGAGGATTTCTGGACTCTAGTCTGCTCCTTCAAGTCAGGCCTGGAGGAGTTCACTTTCAAGAAAGCAGTTTTTGTATGTGCTGATTTATGATAGTGAAGTGCAATCCTGCTTCTTCTTCGCTGACATTTGTGTCAGGTTATAAAATGTATGTCTGTGGAGGGTAACATGATATTAAAGAAGTAGATGAGAGCATGAACATTTCTTATCATGAATAATAAAAACAACTTCTCATATCTCGAAATAGGCTAATGCTCTGGCCAGCGAATGCATTGAGTACCTGGACCAGACTCAATCCAGAATCTACCAAAAGCAAAACCGTGACCAGGATACAGCACCTGTCAATCAAGCCAACACTCAGCCAATACAGCGCCACAACCAAGACCCTCGATCGAGCACTGCATCCCTTTTCCCATCTGATGCATCCCACCCAACCACCACCAGTGTTATACCGTCCAGCAGTGACACCTCCGTCCTCCAGACCTTCCAAGACAGGTTCCTCCAGTTCAGCCCAGATACATTTCAGGAAGTGAAGGCCCAGGCCAGCGCCCTGAGGGGCTCCAGGGGGATGCAGGTCTGGAACGTAGCCTGGCTGCGATGCCAGGAGGCCAGGCAGCAGCTTCAGGAGAGGATCCGGGAAGTGGATGAGGTTTTCCACCCTGAACCAGACTCTAGCAGCTGGTGTGAAGGTCATTATGTTGATGTGGTGAGCACTACTGTTCAGACACCGTCGCCTGGGAGCCAGAGTCTGGTGGTACAGTCAACACCCGGACCTGGTCACCCGCAGTGGGAGGGCATCGTGTCGGGAGCCGTGGATTTAGGGAAGAGAAAGCCGATCCTGGGCAGCAACAACACAGACCCAACATCTGCTGCCTGCTCTAACATCAAACCTGAAGATCACAGCCAGGGGTCAAAGGTCCCTCCACAGTCTCCTCACAGGTAATATGTTGGTCCATTCATCTCACTTGAGAAGGATTTGGTATTTTTCATCAGGATTCAGAGTTCTTGGTTGGATTAGTCAACTAATACACTAGTTGACTAATCATACAAATAATTAATCATCAATCAACTATTTTAACAATCTATTAATGGATTAAGTCGTTTTTTATGTGAAAATGGCAGATAATGCTATGTTTTATATCATAATATTTTAGACTGACAAAACACAACATTTAAAGACCTTAACCAGGACTTTGAAAAAAGTGGGATGGTAATGTTTCAACTTTTTTGACATTCTACAGAGCAAAACATGAATTGATTGATCTCATCTGTTCCCTCTAAAGTGAAGGTCTGTGATGTTTCCACTGTGTAAAATACTCTGTTAAGGTGCCTTTTCATAATCTAATAGTAGGACGGCAAGGAGAACAGAAAGAGTGACGAGGAGGAGACAGACGAGCAGAGCGAGGAGCGAGAGGGACGCCGCTGCTCTGTCTCAGTCCCACACTGTCGGCTGCCAGTGGTTTCCATGGGGACGAGGTCTTGGATCCAGGTCGGTGAGCCAGGACTCGTGCATCACAGCAGCAGCAGCGACGGCGGGGTCCTCCACTCCTCCAGAGCAGCGGGGGCGCCCCTCTTCGTCCTGCTCACACCACGGCCAGCCGTCCTGTCGGATCCTCCAGGAGGCTCAGAAGTTCCAGCTGTCCCGACACGGCAGCTTCTGCTCCGAGGACTCCTGTATGAG